CCGCCGCACCCCACCGTACTCGCCGTCGCTGTGACAGCTCCCGTCTCACCATGCCTCTCGGACTGCACAACCCCCTGCCCTCGTCCGTCGCAAGTAAGTCCTGCCTACCCCGCTGTGCCCTCGGGCCCTCGATGACGTTGCCGGCTCACATTCAAACTCTGCTGCAGGCGAGATCAAGAAGACGGGCAAGATTCTCACCTCCTTCATAGACCCAAGGCAATCCTTTGGGCCCGACAAGATCATTCCCCCGCAGATTCTCGCGAATGCCAAAGTACGCCCTCTCTCATCTTGTGGCTGTTCCGAACCCAGCCGAAGCGCTTCGTATGACACAGACCGGGCGCTAATTTACAACCCCTCTCCAGGGCCTCGCTATCCTCACCGTCTTCAAGGCCGGCTTCCTAGGTTCTGGCCGTTTCGGCTCTGGCGTCGTCGTCGCCCGTCTTGCCGATGGCAGCTGGTCGGCCCCCTCCGCCATCGGCACCGTGGGCGGTGGGTTCGGTGGTCAGATCGGGTTTGAACTGACCGATTTCGTCTTCATTCTCAACGATGCGGCGGCTGTCAGGACCTTTGCGCAGGCCGGTTCGCTGACGCTGGGTGGCAACGTCTCCATCGCTGCGGGGCCGGTCGGTCGCAATGCCGAGGCAGCAGGCGCAGCGAGCTTGAAGAGCGTGGCGGGTGTTTTCGCATACTCCAAGACCAAGGGTCTCTTTGCCGGCGTCAGTCTGGAGGGCAGCGTCTTGATTGAGCGCCGCGATGGCAACGAAAAACTCTACGGACGTCGCGTTCCCGCGCGCCAGATCCTCGAGGGCGCAGTCCCTATCCCGCCTGCCGCGGAGCCGCTGATGCGCGTGCTGAACTCGCGCGTCTTCGCCGGTGTCGCTGGCAATGGTCCCGCCTCGGATTCCATGTACAACGACATGCCTGTGTACGACGACTCGTACGACGACTCGGTCTGGCAGGGCAGTCGTGGCTCCGCTTACGGCGAGAGCCTTCGCGGCAGCCGTAATGGATCCGTGGCCAGCTTTGATAGGCCCCAGCGCGCCAGCACCTGGAGAGATGACATTTACGACAGCTCTCCTTCTCAAAATACTGGTGGTCTTAACCGGTCTTTCAGCACCCGCGCAAACCCCAGCGAAACCTTCGACAGCATGGAGCGCCGCAACCGCGGCCTCAGCGCCGACTACACGTACAGCGACAGGCCCAAGGTTGCGCCAGGAAGACCGGCGGCACCGAAGCCGCAGTTCGCCGCGGCCAAGAGGCAGAGCTTGGCGGCAAACCAGGCCATTGCTAAGTTCACGTTCGCGGCAGACCAACCTGGCGACCTTGGGTTCAAGAAGGGAGATGTGATTACTGTGCTCAAGAGAACGGAGAACGACACAGATTGGTGGACGGGCAGAATTGGCAATCGGGAGGGCATCTTCCCGAGCAACTACGTCCAGATGGCCTAAGGAAGCATTTCCTAGGTTACCTTGATACCCCCTTAAAAATGCTCATGTTCCAGTCTGCTTTTTTCATTTTCGAGATACCTTACCGGCCAATGTCTTCTGCACACCTTTCTTTCTTTCTCTCTCTCTCTCTCTTTCCAGAAAGATAGATTGGCCCGGGCAATCTCTCTTCTTATACATCCCTTCGGACATTTCCTATTTTTCCTTTGGCATAGCAAGGCGTTCGCGGGTCAAGCGTAGTCAATTTTGTTACGGCTTCGAGCCAGATCAGTAGTTTCATTACACTCTTGTCAATGGATTCATTTCTTGGGGTTATTGTCAAATCGATCCGCCTTTGCTGCTTACTTGCTTATTGTGCTCTGGATACACCTGCGATGCGGTACCATACTATGGAAGATCTGCGTGTGCGTCAAAGAAGGTGCGTAGGCCGTCACATTCCCTTCTCTCTCTGCACAATCTCTCTGACATCGCTCTTTACACTAATGTCCCATCCCGCTCGCTCATCCACATCTCAAAAATTTCGTCCGCGGCCCAAACCTACCCACCTGCCGACGGAGCTCGGACGCGCACGGAGCCAATAAAATCCAAACCCGCCGCCCACACAGCCGCCTCGGCTCCATCAATACGAGGTCAACTGCCGTCCCCTCTCTGCTCTAGTAGTAGAAGATGTTCAGATAGTCGCAACCCCGCCACGATCGACTTGTTTAAGCTCCGAAACCGTTTCAGGGTCTATACAGTGAAACAGTCAGTGCCTAGGAAGCGTCTCTGAGAAAAGATGCTCCCGCTCGAAGACCACGGGGATGAAGAACAGCCAAGAGACCACCGTTTAAAGAATCAAATTACCACAACACAAGCAGATGATTGGACATCTGCCCACGAAAGAGGCGAATACGGCTTAGCGGCCTCCGCGTCCCTTTGTTCCAGCAGGCATATATAGCAAACGGCAACGCGCCAGCTACTGTCCATCCACCAACCACTGTCGGCAACCCTTTTGCTTGCAATCAATACTACCAACTTCGCCCACGTTTCTTTCAACGCTTTTACTTTCGATCTACGAAACAATGGCCTCTTCGTCCTCCGTCCCCGTGGAACCTGTCAACGAGAAGGTATTCAACAAATGGTTTCCTAGCGGTTGCGCCGTCATGTAAAGAAGAGGGCAAACAAAGAGAAAAGAGAAGGGGGAGGGGTTCTATCAGAACGACCTGAATACCAAATAAGTTTCCTTAACCACGCAAAAGTCTCCAGATTTCTTTTCTCCCAAGTGACTTTTTCCAAGCGCTTAAACCACAAGAACCCATCGCGGCGCACCCACCAGCCCTACACACTACATTTCCTAGTAAAAATATAACCAAACTTGCAGAAACACACCTTCACGCACCGAGCACTTGTAGCTCAGGGGTAGAGCGCAGGATTGCAGTCACCCTGCAACCATCCCGAGGTCAGCGGTTCGAATCCGCTCAAGTGCTTCCCTTTTTTTTTTTTTTGCGTGGGCATGGATAGGTCGCTGTGGGTGCGTTGGGCGTGTGCGTGTGCGGGGTGGGGACTCGAATACGGGAGGGAGGGTGTGTGTGTCCGGGTGGGGCCGGGGGAGGGCGAGTGCGGAATTTTTGTGAGAGGGGGAAAGGGAAGGAGGGGTTGGGAGGCGTGAGTGTGCTAAGAAGGTATGGGAGGGTGTTTGAGTGGGAATATGTGCTGTTGCTTTTGTACAGCTGGAGACGGGAAGGTTCAATGATGACGAAAGCAGCTTCGGGTGTATAAAGATTATCTCGGACAAAGGAACTACGGAAATATCGACATCGAAGGCTACGACGCAGCAAGTGGATGGATACTCTGCTATAGGTCATGCAATGCAACCCAGACCCGCGAACACATCTCCATTTTCTCTCCAATGCTCCCCTTTTCGTATGGTACAATGTTCATTCAGGGAAAGAACGCGACTCTGCAACAGCCCCAATGCCGCAGCAATGCCAAACGCATAATCACTTCCGGGCTCCCTACTCCACAGCAGCACTCCGCAACCAAACCAGCTCCTAGCCCTGACTACGCGGCGCCAAAGCCCCTCGCATTCTCAATCGCGACGCCGAGCTTCTGCTCCAGCTTCTCGCGGTCCTTGTACTCAGGCAGCAACAATCGGCCAAAGCACGTCGAACTAGTCGGCAGGCCCTCGCCATCCGGCCCGTTCCGCTGCACCCAAAAGACAACGCTCTCGATACCCGCGACGGGGACACGGTCGCTGGCCGTCACGAACTCGAGCAGCTTGCGCTTGCGCTCTTGGTCCCACGCGTGTACCACCGCCCAGAACTCGCGCACAAACGCGTGCTCCGCGCTAAAGCCGCCGTCGTACCGAGTCACGCGCTCGAGCGCGTGCGTGTCAATGTGCATGCTGCCCTCGACGGTGCGGCGCAGCAGCGAGGGCCGCAGCAGCGCGAGATGCTTGGCCGGAAGACATGTGCGGAAGCCGCGCGCGAAGGCGTCGAATTGTGGCTTTATGGATTTGTCAACCAGCCAGCTGATATAGTCGCGCACGTATTGGTGGCGGTTGGCGTTGGTCACAAGGGGCGCTTCGCTGGGCTCGGGTGGCCAGTTCACCACCAAGGCGAAGGGGTCGTCCGTGTCGGTATAGTCGAGGATCGTGTATGGTGAGGGTGTCTCGTGGTCTAAATCTGCCATGTTGATGTTGATGACAAGGCCGCGCGCTTCGAAGCTGAATTCGTATTCGCGGCTGAGAATGTCGCCGACTTCGTCTTCGCAGGAGAGGAGGAAGTCGAAGCTCCTTGCTAAATCGGGCCAGCCATCGCGTATTTGGTCAACGTTGATGACGGGTTTGCCAAGTAGACGCCGGTAGAAAGCTTTGGGGAGAGTGACGGGTAGGGTGATTCCGTTGTAAACGGCTATGGAGAAAAGAAGGCCAATGAGCTCGAAACGAGATAGTGGTTCGAGAGAGAAGGGCTGGAACCAAGTCATGCGGTTCTGGGGGTCCACGGTGAACATGCCTGTGCATCGCTGTTAGGAGGCAATCCTTGGCCACGAGACTCGGAGAACTTACCATTGTCAGGGTTGAACGCCTCGGCCAGTGCAGCCCTAAAGAATTCTTGGGCGACACCACCCTGATCAACGCCGCGTTCGCCTTCATCCACACCTATCCGCACCTTCAAAGGTAGCAGCAACTGTCTTTTTTCAAGTCCCCACAGTTGGTCGAGTGTATCCTCAAGAACATTACTCCGTCGCACATCCAGTTTGAGGTACCTACTAGAAGCAACCGCATAGTGCTCATTTAGATAATTTCGCCATGAGTTGCTCAGGAAATGGCGACTGAACCTGTCTTGAAGCGACCAGTTGTTTCCACTCGTGGTATACCACTTCGACATGCTCGAATAGCTGAATGTGCGGAAATAATAAACCAAAACATGGTCTTGGAACAGGAACGGATACTGAAGGAGATGGAAAGTATTTGGGTCTTCCTTTCGGTCCATGTAACTCGTCGTAAGCTCTAACGTGTCGACCTTTTCCCTAAGATGTTGTACGTGAAAAAAGCGTTTCCGGAGGCCAAGCTCCGTATGGAACCTATCTTGAGGTTGTTGGTATAAACCAGAATCTGGACGTGTAGAGCAAACTTACACATATCGGCGAGGACCTCAGCGGCAGCGCCAACTGTGTCCCATCGCTTCAACTCTAGTTGGCCCTTCCAGTGCTTCATGATGAGTGTTCTCAACCATTCGATGAATACACCGGACACCGACCAACTTCCCCATGTTTCTCGCTTCCATTTCAAATTATCGCCATCAGCGGAGCTGGCTTTCTGCCTTTGTCTTTCGACATGAACCAAGTGCTCAATAACAATATCCATCGCAGGTCCAAACGGGATCGTGCTGTCATGCTTTGCCGTGGTCTGCTGGATCTCCGCGAAGCACCGGCGAGCAGCGACGGCACGCGCTAGGCGATCAGCTAGCCGTACAGCTGGCTCATACTCCAGTTGGTCGATAGTGTCCAGCCAAGGCATGCTATAAGCGTCGTTTGGCCGTTCTCGACTACTCGTGTTAGGTAGCATCATACCCTTAATCCGCAAGTTCCGTATCTCGTCCCAAGTTTGCGGTCGTCCCTTTGTGACGAGCGATGTCAAAGCGTGAATACAAATCATTATGATATGAGCAGCGTCCATGTCCGGGATATACTCTGTTTTTGGGCAATCATTCGGATTACGGCGACCAGGCAGTTTAGGATCCAACGCGTAGAGCGCTGCATATCGTCCCTTCTTGTTCTTCCGGACTTTCAGTTCCGGCGGCGGGACAAAGAGACTTTCAAGGGCGATCCAAAGGCTATCAAATATCAGAGGTCCGTTGATACTTTGCCATGATCTGAAAGCATGCTCCATTTTGGATGGGTCCAGATGCCCCAAAGGTGAGCCGCGCATATCTTTTGTAGGCTTCTCAACGAAGGACCTTAGAAGTATGTCCGGACTGCTTAGGCAGTGAAATATGGACTGATCAACATACTGCGAGCTGAAATGCTCATGCGCATTTTCATTAAGGTAGTGAGCTGGGTCCATAGATGTGCTTTTGTTCACTCGAGCCTCAGAGTTTGCGCGACCTAGTCGTTTCAGCTGGTCCATTATTTCACATGACAGGTGCGAAGCGATCAGGGTCTTTTTCTTAGCAGATCGTCGCCCAGGCAAGTCGTGATTTATGACCATGGAAGGAGATGTCGAGCTAGGCTGCAAACCAACAGAGATATGCACAGCCGAGCCCTTAGCAGAACTATCTGGTGATGAGGTCGGGCCAGAGCTTTTGTGTGACTCTCCAATGCTCTCATTTGATGACTTGACAGAACCATTGGTATCTGTGGACTCGTCAGAATCGGCCAGGCCAAGCGGCCGTCGGTTGTTACCTTGGTCACCGAGTGTATTGCGCCTGCCCTTTTCATGGTCTATGAGTGCTGGCTTTGTCAACTTCCCGTTGTGCGTTCCATTGACAACTATGCGCGCATCTTTTGACGCTGCAGAAGCTTCGAGGGACTTGTCTGCCGAGGGTTCTTTGACGTTGTCCTCCACGCCCCCTTCCTTTTGGCTAGCCTCCTCGGCCAGTGCTTCATTAAGGGGACGCTGGCATCCGCACGGGCACAGCCCAGCTCGCAGGTGGAATGCCTCGTACTCGGCAGACTTCTCATCGCGCCATTCCGTGGAGTGTACCTCTGGCTCTTCGGGCTGGTTGAGCGTACGGGCGATACGGGTATTGAACAGGTTCTGAGTGAGAGACCTGGGATCTATATCCGGATGCCTGACGCTGGGGTGGAAGCGCATTTCTGCTGCAGCCTTTAGCTCTGGCCACGCACTCGGTACGTGTTCGCACAGCCCAGCAATGGGATCGTCCTGGCTGGCAAGGTGATATGCCAACGCTCTGGTTGTAATGTCCGTATGGCGTCGTAGGGGTTTGTCCGAAACGCGGCTGACGCAGCTGAAGCATGTAGGCGTGGTACAGAGTTCATTGATGCACCCATATCGTACTTGAATCATGTATCTATGACAAGACCAACAATCAGTCTACTCTCATGAGCTGGAGCAAAGCCAGCGACCGCCGGTACACATACCGGTAAACCAGGTATTGGAAGCCAGCCAGGCGGAGGCTGTACTCTCCGTCCAGCGACTTGTCTTCCAGGTCCAACGCGACGCTATTGCGAAGCAAGAGATCCCACGGGTTGTCGGCGGCGGGGCGCTGCGGGCCAGGACGCCCCATGTCTTTCGCCGAAGAGGGCGCCGGCCCTCGTTCGCGTCTCGTCATCTCATGGGACGGCGGACCTTGTGCGTGGAACGGGCGCGTGGCCGGGGCGGAATCGAGGCGAATCGGAGTGGTGGTGGCGGAGGTGAGAGAGATGGCACAGGCGCATTACGCGCAGCGTGCTAGATGATCATGGAGAGATGGCAGATGGATGGGTACTCGTATGTCCAGTCGGCGGCGTATGTAAGCAGTTGCTGAGGATCCCTGCGCCGGGGTTTGGATTGGAAATCGGGGCCAACGTCATTCGCACCGCTCAGCCCTATCGACTTTGTAAAATTGGTCGAGGCTCGCCGTATCGTTACGCGCTTTTGCCACTGCGCTTCCCGCTCGCCGTTTGTCTATCTCTCTCCTCCTCCTACTCGTACCCGTGTTTGCGCCTCTCCTCACCCTTCGTCTCTGTTCGCGCGGCGCTGCTGAGTGCAAACACCCACAGCCTATCGCTTTCGGCCCGCCCACTCCTGCCCACTCGATTCTACCCTCGACTTTTCCTTCACCACCTCAACTTCCCACCGCCATACCTCCAGTCACAATGGCCTCCCTGTCGTCGCATCCCTTCACCTGCAACACCTGTCAGGTGGCCTTCCGCGCCAGCGAGCTCCAGCGCGCTCACATGCAGACCGACTGGCAGTAAGTCATGCCCCAATATCGCGAGAGCAAAGTGAGCCTGACCCCGCCAGTCGCTATAACCTCAAGCGCCGCGTCGCCTCGCTCCCTCCGCTGTCTTCTGAGATTTTTGCCGAAAAGGTCCTTGCCAACAAGGCCACCGCCGCTGCTACCGCCGCGAAAGCCCAGTTTGAAAAGCTTTGTGAAGCCTGCCAGAAGACGTATTTCAGCGAAAATGCTTTCGCCAACCACCTCAACAGTCAAAAGCACAAGCAGAACGTCATGATCATGAACAGGCACAGGGCCGCCCGCGCCGGCGGCAACGACGATGATGCCACCTCCGTCATGAGCTCTACTTTCTCTCTTGGCGAGCCGGTTGAGACGTCCTCCGTTGGAACTGTCGCTGACAAGGAGTCTGAGGCGGATGTTGCGAGCGTGGTTGACGGTATGGAGAACGCGTCCCTGGAGGAAGGAGGTCCTGTTGGGCGCAGGCCTTCGCGCCCCGAGGAGCGGAAGCCGGCGCACCCTCTTTCCCGGACTACCACCACCACGACCGACGGGGAGTCGAAACCTGCCGTCCCCGAGCAAATCCTGGACTGCCTTTTCTGCAACTACCGTTCTCCTACTCGCGACCTGAACCTTGGACACATGCAGCGCTTCCACAGCCTGTTTATTCCGGAGCAAGAATACCTCGACGATCTCGATGGACTTCTCAAATTCCTCTGGAGGAAGATTCACGAGTACTACCAGTGCCTTTACTGCAACAAGATGGTTTTCACGGCTGCCGGTATTCAAACGCACATGCGCGATGTTGGACACTGCAAGATTGCGTACGACAACGAGGATGAACAGCTCGAGCTTGGCGAGTTCTACGATTTCACCAGAACCTACTCGGATGATGGTGAAGGCTCGGAAACGGAAGGAGAAGGCGGCGAGGGCGACGAGGAAGGCTGGGAGACCGATTCCTCCGTCTCGGACGTGCCCACGGACGAAATCACTTCTGTTCCTATCGACGACAGGTCGCACCGATACGCGCAACTATCCCAGCACAAGCACCACTCGCATGCGGACCCGCGCCCGCACAAACACGTCGATGGTTTCCACAGCCACGCCCACACTGGCCCGCGTGCTGTCTATCGCGATGAGTATGAACTGCACCTGCCGTCTGGCCGTACCGCCGGTCACCGCTCTCTCAACATGTATTACCGCCAGAACCTGCGCAACTACCCCTCGGCTGCCGAGCGTGCTGATCAGCTTCTGCTCGAGGAGGGCCAGACATTCCGCCGCTCTTCTGACTCCGACGATGAGGAAGAGGGTGGTGTCGGCCTGGAGCCCGGCCAGGGCCAGGTTACCCGCGGTCGTGGCGATGACCGTGGACGTGGCAGGCAATTGGTCACGAGGGCGAACGGCGGTTCGGGCATGCTTGGCGTCAGCGACATCAAGAAGCGGGAGGTGCGCGCCACAGAGAAGAGGGAGGCGAAGCGTGCGCAGCGCGACCAGGCGCGCGCGGAATGGACCAAGAACAAGAAGGGCAACTTCCAGAAGCATTTCAGGGTAAGTCGCACTACTGTCTGCATATCCTTCGTATACAAGAGCTAACATTTTCGTCCAGGATCCCCTTCTCCAGTGAGTGCGTGCGAGTATTTGCGAAGTATTTGTTTGGTGCTTTTCAGGGTTGCATGGGTTGCGGACGGCTACTTGCACGGATGCGGTCGTTATGGCTTTCATAGAGTTATGAACGGAGTGCGGTGTACATTGCAAGCAGCTATACTGAAGCTTAGATGAGCATAGCATATATAGACATGTCATGACTGTCGTCAGAAGTACTATATCGCACAGTGACGAGCAGGTATGTCTCCTGTATTCTTCTAGAAGAACAAGAAAACTGTGGCGACTGCTAGATCCGGAGATAGGTATCACTGAGGCATGATTCATCTATCCGAACACCCCCACTTTGCAACCAGAAAATACTAGGAGCAGGGTATGTACGCTAATCATTGCAGAACCCACAGTCATCCGAGTCGACATGTCTGGTACTTACACGAAGCTCCACAGTCCCATATGTGACCCAAAGCTCAAAACTGGCTCCCAAAACTCAAAGTGTACTCAAATGGCAAGAGTAATACGAATACGCTGCTACTGAGCCTAGGATACGACAAGCATCCAGCAGAAAGTGCATCCTCCGACCCGAGTTAGTTGCAATGTGTGCTAAACTAGTAAGTGCCCTGATCTGCGTCTGAGCATGATGGCCTTACGGGATAGGAACACTGAATGTTTCCAGACAATTTATGGTGGAGACACAAAAACGCTTACATGTCATACGAACGACAGTATAATGACACACCTCTATCACATAGGTTTTTCAAGATCAAAGCAAAACTTCGTTGCGTCGGCCAGAACCGGTTAATCGGAGCTTTCAATGCCACACAAGAACCCGCTTCCAGCAAGCCACAACACCGAGCCCAAAGCACTGATGCATCACTAAATGATAGCAACAACTTCATCTCCGAATTATAGCAGTTGGGTGTTTGAAAAGACAGCCCAAAGGTGGCGCAGAGCGTCGTAACCAGGGTCAGCGTATTCGCGCTCGTACTCGGGTCAGTGCTCTTCCGAAGTACATTATACGCCGTCTCGCAAAGAGACAGTAAGACTGCACACAGCTTTCGGCCTCTCATTCCTTAATTGAACCTTTGTCGCAACAAGACAGCACATATTTTTGTATTTCTTGGAGATATTGCACCATAGCAACCCACTCACTTCAACGCCAGACTTCCACCATGGCCGGCCTCGACGGATTTATGCTTTACCACTACTCTCCCACAGTCGCGGGTGCAGTGATCTTCTGCATACTCTTCCTCGGCTCAACGGGGCTTCACGTCTACCAGATGGCCCGCACAAAGACGTGGTACATGACTGCGTTCTGCATCGGCAGCCTGCGTGCGTATTTCCTTACCACTAAGCACCAACAACCAACTAACGAATTTTTCAATGCAACAGTCGAGTTCATTGGCTTCGCTGCCCGCGCAGCATCTGGCAGAGAGAAATACGGCGAATGGACGCTGGGCCCCTACATCATACAGACTCTATTCATCCTGCTCGCGCCAGCTTTCCTGGCCGCGTCCATTTACATGATACTGGGCCGGGTCATTCTGCTCACGGATGGAGAGTCACACTCATTGGTCAAGCGGCGCTGGCTTACAAAGGCGTTTGTCACGGGCGACGTACTGTCGTTCCTGCTGCAAGGAACCGGTAAGGACACCGCCACAGCTCCAACCCCACAGATGCATGGAAACTGATACTGGGTTATTGCAACAGGCGGCGGTCTTATGTCCTCTGGCAGCAGTAACGCCGACGCTGTCAACATGGCGCAAAACATTGTCATTGGCGGCCTCGTCGTCCAGCTCGTCTTCTTCGGTTTCTTCATCATCGTCTCGGCGCTCTTCCACCGCCGCATGAGCCTCGTGCCTACGGCGCGTTCGCAACACCCTGACATCAAATGGCAGCAGTACCTTAGCTCACTGTACTTTATCAGCACGCTGATCATGGTGCGGTCGATTATGCGTGTTATTGAGTACGGCCAGGGCTTCAGCGGGTACATCATGACGCATGAGGCGTTCATCTACATCTTTGATGCGTTGCCCATGTTTGTGGCTGTGGCGTGGTTGAACTGGAAGCACCCGAGCGCGATTGGCGTGTTGTTGAGGAAATTTGAGTCTAGTGAGGGGCATTTGCCCCTGCAGCAGACGGTTAGTACTGTGTGATTGGAGGAGTTGAATTGAGAGAATAGGGGGTTCTTATATATAGAGAAGATTTGGAGTGTGAAGACGGATGGAGTGGGGATGAGGGTAATTTTCTTTTTCAGTTGTCTGCCCAAGAATAGAGTTGAAAGAGGATCAATTGGAGGATACCTAGGTATCCAAATTGCCACATACTGCTTGCATGACGTGAGTGAGTGAGTGAGTGAGTGAGTGAGTGAGAGTGACGGAGACGGGGAGGCGGGTGATCTCCGGTGCCACAGGGCATTCGCTCCGCCTCATCGTATCTGGAGACGCTTAGGCAACTGCAAGCTTCCCCTCTTCTTCTATCCCATGACAATGCCAGCATGCCTGTGCACCGTCCCACGCAACAGAAGGTCGAGAAGGAGATAGCCTCGAGGAGAACTCACCGCAAATCGCGGCTTGGCTGCCTCAATTGCAAGAGGCGAAGAATCAAGGTACTACTGATCTGGTGACTCTTTCAAACCGTCGCCCCCCTATTTCTTTCCCTCTTTCCGCTTCAATGCCAGTGCTTTTTCTTCTCACACGAATAGTGCGATGAGACGAAACCGTCGTGCTCAAACTGCGTTAGTCACTCAATCCACTGCAAGTACGCAGCCGCATCTCAACCAGCAACCACGAGGCCGATTGAGTCCGAGGCGGCGGCCGATCATGGCAGTCAACCCGATGCTCCCGTCGCCAGCCTGAATTTGACCGACCTGGAGCTGCTGCACAACTACTATGTGCGGACGAGCAAGACGTTCGGCGAAGCCAGCACCTTTATCTTCTGGGAGATTAACGCACCCCAAATCGGCTTCTCCTACCCCTTCGTGCTGCACCTAATCCTCGGCTTCTCGGCTCTGCACATAGCGCGCACTCTCTCAACTTCCCAAGCAGACCGGGAGCGCTACATTTTCCTTGCCGACCAGCACTACGGCGTTGCGATTGATGCCGTCACCGAACTTCTCCCCCGCATCAATACCACAAATGGGCACGCACTGTACCTCGCCGCCATGCTCATCTGTTTCTTCAGTTTCGCACGTGGCCCGCAGCCCGACGAGTTTATCGCCTTCTCTGCCCACGGCCCCGCCGAGTGGCTCGGCCTCTACAAGGGCATGCGCTTCGTGGTCGAGACATCAGGCAATGTGCTTTTTGAAGGTCCGCTCGCACCTATGCTGCGTGCAGCCAGACGTAGCCTCCCCAAAGGCTTGACACATAATGACGAGTGCCGTCCTGTCACTGACCCCGATGCCCCGTCTCTTCGTCCTGGCGAACACGAGCGAATGCAAGCTTTACGCCCACTGGTCGACGCGCCGAGTCCGTTCCGTGAGGCGTATCGCCTTGCGCTTGATAATCTCTCGTGCTGGTACACGCCCGGGTATCTGGACGGCTCCTCTTCTTCCGGCGGCAACAGTGATGATTGCACCGATGATGCCGGCGCCGGCTCGCGCTTACCGTTATTCTTCACATGGATTTACATCCTCCGCGATGACTTTGTGGCCTGTCTTCAGGCCAAAGAACCTATTGCGCTGATCGTTTTCGCGCATTTTGCCGTGCTGTTGCGGCGCTTCGACTCGTTATGGGTGCTGGCGGGATGGGCGCAGCATATCATATCTGGCATCTATGACTTCCTGGACGAAGGGTGGCGGGGTTGGCTGGCATGGCCGGCCGAGCAGATTGGATGGACTCAGGGGGAGAGGATGTGATGATTATGCAAAGTTGTTGCTCGTGTTCTTGGGTCTTGCAAAGCGGCCACGATTAATTCGAGGGCGCCGGGTCGCGAAGGCGCACAGCCACAGCGACTCCGGCGGACGAGCTAACGCACTCGCGCAAAACCACCGCGGACATGACGCTCCACCAAAATCAAGGACGCACCATCTAAGTCCACGCTCGCTGGTCTCGTCTCGCCACGCACCCATTGACGCAGCACCAGCGGCAAGACCATTCACTCCAGACGCTACAACCACAACTGCCACAATGGAAGACCCGCCTTTGGCCTCACTCTCTCTGACCCACGTCCATTACGTATGTCTTCCCTCCTCCGCATGCCCGCACACCAATGCTGATATGACCAGAACCCCAATGACCGGCTGTCATTCCTCTGCGCCTGGCTGGCACTCGTGCCGCAGGGATTGTGCATCGTGTACGCGACATTAGTCTGGTCGACACGCGAAGCGGAAGTCATAATGATGTTCGGCGGGCAGATGGCTTGCGAAGCGCTGAACTGGTGTCTAAAGCGGCTGATCAAAGAAGAGCGACCGAAGCGTGAGTAGCGCTGCAAGACCGGAGACGTGGGTACGAGGAGCTGACAGACCAACCCAACAGAAATGTACGGCAAAGGCTACGGCATGCCGTCGTCGCACGCGCAGTTCGTCACCTTCTTCAGCGTGTACCTGACGCTGTTCCTGCTGCTGCGGCACACGCCGCACCCGACGCACACGCACACGCCCACGACGTTCCTGCAGCGCCTGCTGCTGTCGGCCGCCGCGCTCGTGTCGGCCGCCGCCGTCGCCCATTCCCGCATCTACCTCACGTACCACACCCCCAAGCAGGTGCTGGTCGGCTGCGCGGCCGGCGCCGTGTTCGCTTTCGTCTGGTTCGCCGTCACGGCCTATGTGCGCCGCGCCGGCTGGGTCCAGTGGGGCTTGGACTCGGGGTTTTGCCGCGCCTTTAGGTGCAGGGATCTCGTTGTTGAGGAAGACCTTGTTGATGCTGGGTGGGCGAGGTGGGAGGACCGGTTGCGCCGGAGGGATAATGAGACCGGGAAGAAGGGGAGGTAGTGGTGCGTGTGGGTAAGTTGGACAAGACGAGAAGATACAATACGAGATGAGACGAGACGAGACGATGCTTGCTCATGATGTAGGATATATTTTTAGAAGAGACTGGTTTGGGACTGTATATAATAAACGTCCGGCATAAACACTACACCCTTCCCCGCCGGTAAATCGGCGGAATCGAGCCAATCTTACGGCTATCTTTTCCGCGCCACAGGTTCCAGAATGCCTTCCCGTCGGCAGCAACGCCTATACCACGGCCGGAGGTGTAGATATACCTATGGTTTACATTCCACGCCCTCATGAACTACTCCACCTAGCTACGAGCCCGGGTTCTGGGTCCGGCTAAGCACATACATATAGGGAGGGAGTGTTTTAATCTACTCTTAGAAGCATATAGGTACATACGCTTGCCGTATCTTTCGTGCGTGCGCGCCACATCATAGAAACGAAAGCGACGAATCGCTCCGAATCTAAACACTGTGGATATACATGAGACGATGCAGATCTAGCTTGTAATCGTCACTTGAGTTCACAATAATGTAGCATGGTTGTGACGAAAAGAGAGAAAATCGAATGTATCGTGGCGCACTATACCTCTAATAACAATGAAGAAGAACAGATGAAAAGATATTTCAATCGAGGTTCCTACCCTTCTTTCACTTCCTTTTCTCGCTCCTTCATCGCCAACCATACACTCCAGGATATCCCAAACTGAGTCATCAATCGTTCTCCCTGCGCCCCAATACAATTTCAACGCCACCCATGAGCCCCCATCGCTCAATCCCACCCACATCGCCATGAACAAACACCATACAACTCCCCTTCCCTTACTCACTCACTCACCCACCTCGCCCACTCACTTCCGCGGCAAATCCCGAAACACCATCTTAAAGATCTCCTTGCTCTTATACAGGTTCAACAGCCGCAGGCGCTCGTTGTCCAAATGCGCGCTGTCGCTCGCCTGTCCGCACGGCAGGTGCGCAGCCGGCGCGCCAAACTCCTTCTCCAGGAACCTGATGCTGGGGATGCTGCCGCCCTCGCGGATGTACAGCGGCTTGCGCAGCGGCGACGACTTGCTCGCGGTAGTGGCATCGTCCGAGGCGGTGGCGTCAGCGGTGTCGGCTTGTTCGGAGGGGGGCGTCGCGCTGCCCATGGCGAGCGTTGACGACGTGGTCGGGGAGGCGGCGTCGAAGACCGTAGCGCTGCTGTTGCCGGTGCCGTTGACGCTGCTGCTGCTGCTGTTGTTGTTTGCGGCGGTGCCTGCGGTGGTAGGGGTGCTAGTCCCGTTGTTGAGCAGCAGCTTCGGCGCGCCCAGCGAACTGCGTCGGCGGTGGTGCTTCTCCTCCGCGACGGGGCGCCACGCTTCCAAGATCGCCGCCTCCAGCGTCCGGTACATCTCGTTGTTGTAGTCGCCGAGCCAGGGCTCGGCCTGGTGGTCAATCGTAACCGTGAGCCTGTTCTTCGAGCCGATGTGCGCAAACTCTTGCGCCAGGAAGCTCGTCATCGCCGCCGCGACCTTCGACGCCTCCTGGTTTGGCACAAGACGGATCGAGAGTGACGCCTTCGCGAGCCGCGGGATGATGGTCGAGTTTTCGGGACCCGAAGTGTGGAAGTGGTGAATTGTGAGGGAGGCTTCGCGCCAGCGCCGGATGAGAGAGTTGGCAAGCTCTTCGGGGTCGCCGAGCTCGGGGTTCCGTTGGACTAGGGACTGCGTTATCTCGGCGTAGAGCCGCATTTCCTCTTCGCTCAGGGGCGGAATCGGGTCGTAGAAACCTGGGATCTCGATTCTGCCATGCGGCCCTGTTAGCTTGGCCAGCAGCATCACTAGGTCCTTCAGTGACTCGTCCAGGAGCGAGCTACCATCTACACCACTGTGGAGGTCGGGGTGCGGGCTCTCTATCTGCACGGTGGCATGGATGACACCACGGAGCCCGTAGGTCAGGCATGGGACATGGTCGTCTAGCCAGTAGCTGTTGGCGAGCAGGATCCAGTCGACATCACCGATCAGCTCCTTATTCTCCCGCACGGCTTCTGGGAAGCCTCGTGAGCCGGACTCTTCCTCGCCCTCTATCAAGAAGATGACGTCTGAGTCTAGAGCCTGTTGCTCAAGAAGCTCGGCCACGGCGAAAATTGCTGCCATGATCGGGCCCTTGTTGTCTGAGGTACCGCGACCGTACAGATAGCCGTCAATGCCTTCCATGGTGAAAGGGTCAACTATCCATTTTCCGTCTTCGTTTTCCGCAGCAATGACATCGTAATGGCCGTAAAACAAAATTTTCTTCCGCTCCTCTCTCGTTGCTGGGTTACCTCTGAACTTCGCAAAGATCACGGGGTTGAACGGATCCTGCGTGTTGAGCATTTCGGTCGTGGCACCGAACCCTTTGAACACTGAGCGCAAGTACGACGCGCCGCGCCGGCAGTCCGCCTTGTAGCGTGGGCTCGAGGACACTGTACGGTATGACACGAAGCGCGAAAGGAATTCAATGAGCTGTTCGTTGCTGGTGGCGTTTGGCTTCGGGGCTGTCAGCGAGCAGTCGCGGACGTCCCAGACAGCAATGGTCGCATCGTTGCCGCCAGTGACATAGATGGGCCTGTTGTTGTAGACAGTGAAAGTTGAAGCAAGAACGAGTCCTTCGTGAGCAGTGAACTTCGCAACGGTCTCATACTGGCGATTGAGTTTTTGAATGGTGCCTCTGTCGCCGGCGCCGAACAGAAATCCGCCGCCTAGGGACAGAGCAAGGACATCGCCAACCTGAGTCTTCAGGCTCCGCACGAGCTGCTTGGTCTCTAGATCCCAGACGTTGATCTCGCCGTTCGGGCGACCTGCATAAAGAAACGTGCCTTCCAAGACGATTGACTGCACGGGGATTCCCTCTTCCCTGCCATCGTCCAGCTGATGAAGCTCGCGGATGGCACCGCCGGCCTCTTCGTCCAGTCTCCAGAGCTTGATAATTCCGTCTCCACCGCCCGAGACTAGAACCTCCTTATCGGGAAAGCCCGCCACCTGTCCGCTGGCTAGCAGCATGCAGTACACGTAGCCATAGTGGGCGAACTGGCGAATATACTGCTTGTCAAGCTCCAGCACCTGACCCCCCGTGGCGTCGCGGGGTCTGTCCAAAGCCGGTTCTGGCCTCGGGGTGCGGATGCCACCTGGACCAAGCGAGTCGAAGAAGCGATCCTCGCGCAACAAAGGGTGGGCGGTGGGTTTGGGTTGAGGGCGCTCATCTTTCTCCTTCAAGTCATACCATTGTATGCTGGTGTTCTGGGCGCCGAGATAGACGGTTCGGAGGGTGGGGGAGTATGACACGCAGAAGATGTCGCCCACATCGTAGGCCGAGTAGATGGAGTAGACCCTGGTAAACGAGCGGGCATTCCAGACCTGGGCGAGCGATGCATGATGAGTGGAGAGAGCGGGAAATTTCGGCGGCGCAGGAGACTCACGTTGACGATCCGGTCGCCGGAACTCGAAAAGAGCAATTGCTCGTCAGCAGACAGACACAAGCCGAGAACGCTGCCACGGTGACCTTCGATGACGGCAATGCGTCCGTATGTCTCGAGGCCGTAGACCAGGATCTCACCGCCTTCGGTGCCGGCAAAGATGAGTTCGGAGGAGACGGCGAGGGCGAGGATGGACTTGTCATGCCTCATGCGATGGAAGAGGCCGGGCGTGACCAGGTGCTTCGGGTGCGAAGCCATGGTGGTTCGTCCTTCAACGTGCGCCATGGCCGCCGTTTCATGCTGGCCGGCGAGAGGGTCTGACTCTGCCAAAGGCGTCAGCGCGCGGCGACAAGCGGCGGTGAGAACTCCACACGGCGGGTCGGCCCGATCTGAGCGCGCGCCCAACTCACGATTCTGCCTCCGATGAAACGCGTCTCCGCACCTCTTGGTACTTCTGGAAAGCTTCGAGAGGAAGACGCTACGCCCTACTGAGCTGCATCCGGCAAAGCCCACCGATTGGATCAGGTCAGGCCGTTGCCGCTCTAGGCGCCGCGATGATGTCTGCTGCTGCAACTCGCGGGGGATGTAGCTGTCTTCTTCTTCGACCTCTCCCACTCCCCCTCCGTCCATCTTTGGCAGCATGTACGGCATAATAGTCCTATGACGAGATGGTGCTTGGCTATGGCGACATCAAGCCGCGCCCTCCCTCTCAATAAAAAGGAGTCGATTCTTGCTTTTTTCAGGCGAGGTTGGCGACCTGGACATCCTGCAGCAAGAACGGCAGCTGAGGGTGGTTGACGAGACAAGGAGACACACACACAGACACAGACACACAAGGACAGGTGCCTGAGGCTGAGGAAAGGAGATGGGTGCTTGCAGGGCTAACGTCGACAGCCGGCAGGGGCGTGTAACACAGTATGGCAATGCGGACGATTATTCGCTGAGCTATATTTACGGGGCATGGGGGGTGGACGATGAAACGCAGCAAGCAAACAGGCGTGTCTGGCGATCTCGGGCGGCTGCTGTGTCTTTTTGCGGGCTTTCATGGTGGTGATGTTTGCTGATGAGCGTGGCGGAGCAGTGGGTTCAAAGACTCACGCGAGCAGTGAGAGCGAGGCACAGAGACACGAGAGGGAAGCAGGTTGCGCTGGAGATTGACTGTCCGCTGACATCAGGACTCGCGATCTCACTGCAGCTCCAACGCATGCTCGAGCAACCCCTCCCCTCCCCCTCCAAGCGCCGACATTGGTCCCCCGCCCTAGCGAGGGGCGCCCGACCACCGACGTGCTGCCACGACGCTCACCGACCTCTCGTCCGCTCTTCTCTTCCGCCCTCCCCGACACCAGCCCGCCGTGGCACCGCTGTCTGGCACCACATGCTGCACCCGGCGCCGCCTTCCCCAGCCGCCATGCAAGATACCTGAAATCCATGTCAACGGCCTGTTAAGCCTCCGCTCTCTCCCCTTGCCCTTGCTTCTGCTCTAAATAACTCACCCGCCGCTGTCGCTACCCGCAAGCATACCAAGCTCGAAAATACCAGTCCTGCCCCACCACCAAACAACCCTGCCGCAGCAGCTTCTCGTTTCACCACTTCGACGCCATCGTTGCACCTGCAGCAGCTGGGACTCCCGGCTAGTACCTCTTAATCATGGTCAATGCCGCCCTTGGCCAGACAATCACTGTTGTGAACAAGTCGGGCAAGGTTGTCAGCACTGTAAGACTCACTCCATTTGTCCTGTGAAGCCGTCTGATGCTGACCTGTTTCCAGAGCAAGCACCTCGTCAACGTCTTCAAAGAAGCAAAGTCGGCTTACCGTGAGCGCAAGGCCGAAATCAAGGCTGTACGCGATGCCGAGATAGAAGAGAAGCGGGCCCAGCGCGCTCTGGAAGACTTCCACATCGACGACGATGACACCAAGTCGCGGCGCTCGCACAAATCGCGGTCTCGCCGCAGCATTGCACCACTGAAGCGCGGTTACACCGATAGCTGGATGGCCGACGAACAAGCTGGAAAGCCCGTGGAGTCGCCGATTCGCGAGGAGGCTAACGATGCCCATCGGAACCAGCTCGTGCGCCGATATACCGAAGGTCCAATGTCCCTTTTCAGCAAGAAGAAATCCAAGGAGGATGACATCGACATGGACCTTGCCTACGGAGAGCTGCCCCCTCCCATGCCTGAGCAACGCTCGGACGAAGAGCAGGAGCTTCGGGACAAGATGAACAGCCTGACCCGCATCTTGGACGAGGCTCAATGCGTCCATTACTCAGTCACTACCATGATTGACAGTCTGCAAAAGAACCCCGACGCACTAGCTGCGGTAGCGCTCACTCTGGCGGAGATCAGCAATTTGGTTGCTAAGATGGGCCCTGGAGTTTTGAGCGTGCTCAAGGTTAGCTTCCCCGCTGTCGTCGCCTTGCTCGCCAGTCCTACTTTCATGATTGCCGCCGGCGTCGGTGTTGGAGTGACAATCGTTGCGCTTGGCGGCTATAAGATCATCAAGAAGATGACAGAGACGCCGGCAGAGCCTGCGCTTCCAGCCGGTGGCGAAGTGAAGGCCATCGAGCAGGTCCAGGAGGAGGAGCCGGTTTTGGACGAGCTGCAGCCGCCAGAGCTCAGCCGGATCGAGAGATGGCGCCGTGGCATAGCGGACGTAGCAGCTGACAGCATTGGGACCAGCGTCGACGGTGAGCTGGTCACGCCGGAAGCTGCTCAGTATTACATCAAGGAGGGTGTCTTGAAGGAAGACGACCTCAAGTCGAGGAGATCGTCGCGGATCAAGAGATCCAAGTCCGTTGCGTCGGGCAAGACTCAAAAGACGCATAGGACCTCCAAGACGGAAAAGTCACAGAAGCCTGAGAAGACGGAGAAGGCCAAGAAGAAGAAAGAGCCTTCCGGCATTCGCATGCTGTTTTCCACCCACTAGCGGATTGGTTGGTCTACCTCATTTTGGAGTTTTGGCGGCTGGCATTCAAGCGTTTTCGCATGATTTATCTTTTAGACGTATCTGCATCGGCTGCACGGTTGATTACTCTACTACATAGTTGTTTTTCTTTGCGGATACCCCGCAGTGTTTTTCTTCCTGGAATTTCGGGCTTCGGAGGGAACCTCACGAGTTGCACGATCAATACAACCATTATCAAACACCCAGCTATGAATGATTGAAGAAGCTGCAGGAGTGATTACATGTGACGCGGAGCACGTGACGCGGCTAGCTCCAACTTTTTCGAGCGGCATCATCGTCAGTCAGACTCGCCATCCAAACCCCAACGCCGTGACCGGTCCGCCACCAACCAACCTCTCCGCCGGCACTTCCGCTTCTCCTCGTGTGCCACTGCCATTCGACCGCACTTTTTTCTTCTTCGCGCACGCATTCCGCTACCCGCACCATCCATTCGGCTTTGCTCGGCCCCGTCGCAGTAACAACCTAATACCTTTCTTCCACGATGGATCACTCAAGAGACCCTTGCCCGTGGGTGGCTCTGTCCGACTTTGGTGGCGCTTTCTGTATGGGTGTACGTTTCTCCCGTTTCATTCCCTTTCCACTGTCGTCCGCTCAGAGGCTAACGTGACTTTATTGATAGGCCATCGGTGGTGCAGGTACGCTTTAGACCCTTGCCTTGCCCTCGTCTCATCGGCCTCGAATGGCCGTGGACCCCTAAGACCTTCTCAAAAACGCGTTCTTAGCGCCGTGGATACAAGGCTTACGATAATCTACAGTATGGCACGGCGTCAAGGGCTTCCGCAACTCGCCCTACGGTGAACGCAGAATTGGCGGTACGTGATCCTCTTCCATCTCCTCCTCTCCCTCATGACACACGCAGATACTGACGCGCGGTTCGACGAATAGCGATCACGGCGATAAAGGCGCGGGCGCCTATCCTGGGCGGTAACTTCGGCGCGTGGGGTGGGCTGTTCTCGACCTTCGACTGCGCGGTCAAGGGCGTGCGCAAGAAGGAGGACCCGTGGAACGCCATCATTGCGGGCTTCTTCACTGGCGGCTCGCTCGCGGTGCGCGGCGGTGCAAAGGCTGTGCGCAACGGCGCCATTGGCTGCGCCATCCTGCTCGCTGTTATCGAGGGTGTCGGTATCGGCTTCCAGCGCATGCTGGCTGAGAACTCGCGTCTCGATATGCAGCCGCCTCCGCCGCCTAACGTCGGCCCCCAGGCGGCTGTCGCGTAGGGGTTGCTGCTCGAGATGGGCCTGACGGCGTCGTGAGGCGGGGTTAATCGTGGCGGCGCTGTTGTTAATATTGCGGGGGGCCGCAGTTGATGATTACGCTCGAGGGACACGGTAGCTCGGGGAGACGGGCAGCGGAGAAGCAGCAGCGACGATGAAACGTCGGCAGCAGAAAAGAAGAGGGTCCCTGGTCTCGCGCGCGGGAGGTTGAGCGAACGAGACGGCGAGGAACTGGAGTGTGCAAAGACAACAAAAAAAAAAGAACGCGTCCCGCAACCCACCCCATCTCCATTCCCTGCGAGCGGCAATCATCAGCAGCGATGTCTGCGCGGCAATGGCGCTAACGACTCCACGTACCTACCTGTTTGCGCCAGACAACAAACGACGGACCAAAAAAATAAACGACAACCACGACTACGATGCACCGTATAATCCCCGTAGACCTTTGGCCCGCCACTGGAATGAACGACCACGCCGCCCCGTCGATCGCCGACCACGTCAACACCGATACGCTGCTTGCCTCGCTGCCCGGCCCCTTCCTTGAGCGCGCGTCCACCACACAATTCTGCACACATAACGCACAACCCAATCTACATCACGCACACACAACTCACATACCCTAAAAAAGAAACTGAAAACGAAAAAAGAAAAAAGCAAAAGCATACCACTCCACTTCACCATTTTTGTTCCACCATCCCATGACTGATTGAACTGATCTCCCCCCGGCGCGCGCGTGCGCGTGCGCGTTGTCACACGCATGCATACGAGTGTACACGCGTACGTGTGAATGGGTGTAGGCGTGTATTGTAAGATAGACCCGACGAGACGAGGACGATGGAAGCGGAGTGAGGCGAAAGACGCAAAAAAGGGGGATGGAGGAGAAAGCAGAAAGCAGAAAGCAGAGAGAAGAAGCGCCAGCTCGTCCCATTGCCACGACCATCACCACCATCCTCACTCACAGCTAGGCGTTTTTGCGTTCTTCTTATTGCTGTTGATGTTGGCACATCCCATCTCCGCCTCTACTGTTGTTGTCCTCCATTTTTTGCGCTGCGGCGGAGGTTTTTGTGTGTCTTGGGCATTTTCATTTTCCCTATTAGGCGTATATAGGTCCGCATTGTACTCTTACTCGAAACTACCTCCACACCGGCATAAATCTAAATATTTTAAACTGAATCTTTCTTTTTCTTAACTGCTTAGTAAACATGATGATGGTGAATGAGTAGTGGCAAATGAAACGGAGCCGCAAAACCCGAGGCTAAACAAAACCAAGCCAGCCCACTCCAAACTTTAAATCTGCATTTTGAGGTTTTGATGATGAACATCATCACCGTTTGCGGGAGTTGATGGTGGCGATTATCATCGTTTTTACATTTCTCCACCTCAAAGCCAACGCAACCCAAGCTTCAATTCTGCATTTTGTGATTTTGATGATGAACATCATCACCGACGACTCTTTGGAATAGTGATGATCATCACATCACCATCGACTTCACTGAATGATGATGATGATGAGCATCACCACCAACTTCTCTGAATGAAGATGAGGCGCATCACCACTGGCTTCTCTGAATCATACTGAGAAGCATCACCATGTAGTGATGAATATAGGTGTAGAACAGAAATGGTAAGCGTTAGATTTAGCGCCAACGAATATGAAGGCGATGAAGATAGTGAAGAGCATCAGATTGATGTTGTTACCAAGTTAATAACGACACCCAGCATATCGGCCGTTAGTTTGTGTTATGTATATAGGCGGTCCTCTCTCCCCACTTCATCCACTCGTCCGTTCCAATCTGGGGTATATGTTATGTACCAAGCCGTATTTCCATCCACCTAGCCCTTCCTTCACTACCACCGCTACCACTACCGCTATTGCCATTGCTCTGGCATCTGTACGTATCTTTCTCTCTTCCCGTGAATGAAGTAATAGCAAGTAACCCCTTTGGATAACATGAGCATGCGAAAAGAAAGAAAACAAAAAGTGAAGGTAATATATAAACAGAAGAGAAGGCAAGAAAAGAGCGCCCGAACTGCGCCAGCAGGCCGAGTGCCGAAAGAAAAGAGCAACGTGCAGATAGATGAGTAGGTGCAAATATGTCGGTAGCGAGGTAGGTAAGGACGTAAGCAATATTGATCCCGCATCATCCTTCACAGATTCCCAATTACGACCATGAACCTCAGTAGCCCATCGCCCTTCTTCCTCGAGCCACGCTCCTTCCACGCCGCAGCGCCTGCTCTATTACCACCATCATTGTCACCCCCGTCACCTTCACCAGAAGGCGGCATGCCATCCACATCGCCTCCCGCCGACGTTGCAGCACCACCAGCCGCGCCTGCTGCCGTCCCTGCCGTCGCATCATCCAGCATCAGCGTGCTGCTCTTCCAGCCCCAGCTCTGGCTGAAATTGAACTTGTCGGGCGCCGACTCATACACCGAGAGCAAGCGTCCGCCCTTCGACGGCGAGTAGATCTTGAAGTACGTCTTGATAGTCGGGCGGCCATCGATGTAAGGGGGGATGGTCGGTCGCTCTGTTTTCGTGGTCCCGGACTCCGAGTACTTGGAGGAGGACATGTCGTTCAGGTTTGAAGTGGAATCTGAAGCCGCGTTGTTGCCCCGCAGCATAGGTGCCGCCTCGTCCGAGGAACCCCCATCCGACTCGTCATCGCTTGAGTCTGAAAACTGAGGGCGCATCCAGTCGGGCATGTTGGTCGTGAAGACGGGCTCCTCGCGGCGTCGGGGCTGTGGTGCGAAGTTGTCTGACATCACGCTGATGTCCGGATCACCGCTGCTGCTGGCGTTGTCATCCTCGGGGCCCACACCGATCATAGCCGTTGCGATTTGCTGAGCGCGTCGGCTGCGGCTGCCACGCCGTCTGTGAATTTGGCTTCCGCTACGGAGCAGCATGTCGCGTTCTAATTGTCCTATGCGCTCGTCGACCGAGGCTGCAGAAAATCCGGTCGAGTTGGTGCCAATGCTGTCATCGGTAGCGTATTCTTTGGCACGGTGGAGGTACACTCCGAGCTGAGGGTTCTTGGCCGAGCGAACCTTTTGGATATAAATGTTCCACAGCGAGCCGGCGTAGAAGACTGTACGCGAGTAGACGCGTTTCTTCTCTTTTAGCAGGCGCGGATTAGGAAATTCGGCAGCAAAGCGGAACGGTGGGAAGTTAGTGTAGGAGACGCCCTTGCCTCTAAACGGAGATGTGTTGTCCCTGCCGGCGGAGCCTGGCCGTAGAGGCGTTGGTATGCGATCAGCGTCTGGTGAAATGGTGAAATCAGTCGCCCACTGCGCGTCGGCCGGCTGAAGCGTCGCAGATAGGCGCGAAGCATGTCGTGGAGAGGAGCTGGTGGTCGTGACAACGGGCTCAGCTGCACCGCCCATGACAATGTTGCAGTCAGTAGACGGAATCCAAAACTTGCGCGGTTTGCCGTTTGCATCCCAGCTGCCAGAGTCCATCTCCTCATCATCGCTTTCAATCGCGTTGCCGTTAGAGGCAGGCGCTTTGCCCTTGCCAGACGTTGCTGCCGACGCCTCAATCCTGTGAGGCTGTTCAGGCTCAGCTGTTTGACTCAATCCAAGCTCCATGTCCTGCGGGTCAGCGGCCGTGACCTTTTGGCGGAGCTCCATCTGCATCCAGAGAGCATTCGTGGTGGTCCTTTCGGACACTATGGGTAAGTTGAAAACGTCGCGGGCTTGGCGAATGTACTGCAGCTCCTCAAAGTCAAGGTGAATATAGTGAATGCCTTCTTCGAGCAAGACAAGAAGTGGCTCGATCTCGTGGTGAGTGTACAGTGAAATCCAGCATTCTTGCTCGTTCTGGGATTGACGGGACAGTCCAGTGGTAATGGCATTCTGTCGGTAAACCGAGTCGAACCGTACAGCCATCAGCGCAAGAGTGTCTGGGGCTTTGACGCCGCGGACCTTGGTCGACTTGATAATGCCCAGCTCTACAGCCACTTTCTTGAGACGCCTGTCCAGCAGGCATTTGGCAAGGGCCCATCTTTCCCACTCCCCATGCACGTAAAAGCCGTCGCCACCGACGATTTCACGCACAATTTCGCCGGGAATCTCGTCCCAGTTCCTCAGCGTCATCTCGCAACCGTCCCTGCAGAGCATTGCTTTGGCGGATGCCAAGACCCTTTGACCCGCGCGACCATAGTATTGAATGGTCACGAGCTTGATGAGAGGACCGAGATTGTCGGGATGCATGCGCCGCATGATAGAATCGATGCTAGAGTCAACGAGGTCTTGCATGTCCAGCCAGCACGCCGTCGCAAAGAGACCCAGACACTCGGCATCTTCCTCGTCAGAGATGTCGCATCCATAAAGGCGTTTGAGAGTCAGTTCAAAGGCGTTCTGAGTGATGCATGCGTCTATCTCTTCGGGATGCAGGGTGATCTCCTTCGAGTGGCTCTCGAGCCAAGGGCCTGACAGGGCTGAGCTGAAAAAAGGAGCCTGGTCGAGGACCAGGCGATGTAACTTGTAGCTCTTGCCAAAAGCGCAAACAGTGATGTCCGAGTGCCGGCCATCGAGCAGACCTCGCTGGTAAAGGTGGACGCCGACCGAGCCCAGGGCCATGGCGGGTTGAGCTGACAGCGTTAGCTAGGTTGAAGACGTAGGTAAACTGCGCTAGGGCGTGTTTATACCTAGAGGTCTGATCTGGTTGTAAGATGACATACGTGACGTGTTAGGCGAGGGGCCAGCAAATAGCTTGTTAAGCGTGGTCAGATTCTGAAACTCGCGCCTGTCGGCAGACCGCGACGACTCTACGGGGGTGGTAGGGTCGTCGACATCCTTTTCGGCGCGGGAGATGGGCGGACGGCGCGAGGAGGCGGGCGAAGGGTCGGCTCGGTGCGAAGCGGGCGTGATGGTGAGGGCCGAGGTGATGCTACGGGTTGCTCGCGGGCGTGGACGCTGTGCGCGAGGCGGGGGCGAATCAACGGCGGGGCCAGAGGAAAATAGCGAATTTAAGGCGGTGGCGGCGCTCGGAGCATAGATGGGCAACGAGGCCCGGGGCGAGAGGGCGGGAGCATGAGCAGTAGAGGATGACTGCTCGTGCAGGGCAGGTGCGTCGAGGTTTAAGTTGGACAGCAGGTGGTGGAAGTTGCTGGCGTCTCCATCCATGACACTAACTTAGCTGGTGGGTGTATAGAGGCACTAGAGGCGGCGAAAGTGGAGAAGAAGCAGCACATGTGAGGGAAAGACGGAAGAGAAATGCAGACAGCTGGTGGTTTTGCTGGGGATGACGTTGAAGCTGCGCGTGATCGGCGGGCTGAGAGAGAAACGGGAGCAAGGGAAGTAGTGGGCTGTGGCCCCGCAGAGCACAGTAGCCGTGCTTGAGCGGCATGCGATACCTTGTCGCGGAAGTGCTTTTTTCTGGGGGGACACCTGTGCGGCGCGTGTGCTTGGAGGGTTCAGGCGTCCCTCAGGCCCTTTATTTTTTTTGTTATTTTGGGAGCTGGAGTAGGTAAGCCGTCGCCGTCATTCGCCGCTCGCTCCTGACTCGTGCCACACCGCCCGTCCCGATTCGGAAGGCTGTTATCGTCGCTTTGCACCATGTCGTACCACCAAGCTTCTTTCCCTTCTTTCCCTTCTTTCCTCCTCTTCCTCTTCGCTCGCTTCAGCAGTGATGGCGGCTTCCCTCTTTTCACCTCTGGGGCGCGTGGCCACTCCGCGTCTGCTGTCGCGCGCCTGCTTCTTCCCAGGCTCTACTACCACCACTCCTGCCATTCTCGCCGCCGTCCGATGGAACTCGACCGGACCCAAGCCCAAGTCGCCTCTGGGTGCTCTTGCCGACACTATCACTCGCGTCCCCAAGTCTCCTGCCCCGCTGCAACCCGGCTTCGCGCCCATCAAGCCCACCACCTCCGCCAAGTCCGACCCCAAGTCCGACCCCGTCTACGAATCCACTTCCGATGCCCACTCCTCCAGCTTCCCCAAAGTCAGTGACAAAAAGGTTGGCTACTGGCTGCTTGGCAGTGCTCTCAGCGTCTTTGGCATTGTCGTATGGGGTGGCCTCACCCGCCTGACAGAGTCTGGGTAAATAATTGCCTCCGCCCCTTCCCGTGCCTTCCCTTCCTGACCCCCGCCCAGTCTCAGCATCACCGAATGGCGTCCCGTAACCGGTTCCTTTTACCCCATGACCCAGGAGGCCTGGGACGAAGAGTTCTCCAAGTACCGTGCCTCGCCCGAGTTCGCCCTCCTCAACCCGCGCATGACCCTCGACGAGTTCAAGAAGATTTACTTTATGGAATGGTCGCATCGTCTCTGGGGCCGCTTCATTGGCGTCTCCTTCCTGCTGCCCACCATCTACTTCATCGCCCGTAAGCGCGTGACTAAATCCATGGCATTGAAACTCGTCGGCATCTGTGGCATGATTGGCTTCCAAGGCTTCATCGGCTGGTGGATGGTCGCTAGCGGCCTGAAAGACGACCTGTTTGCGCCTGGTAGCCACCCCCGTGTGTCCCAGTATCGTCTGACTGCCCATCTGGGTGCTGCTTTTGTTGTCTACTCTGCCATGCTTCTCTCTGGTCTCTCCATCCTACGCGAACACCGCTGGCTCAAAGACCCTGCCGCCGCAACCAAGCTCATCCAGGAACTTAGCAACAGCCGTCTCCGCACTTTCAAGCGCCTTGTAACTGCTCTGTCTGCTCTCGTCTTCGTCACGGCCATGTCCGGCGCTTTGGTTGCTGGTCTCGACGCCGGTCTCATTTACAATGAGTTCCCTTGGATGGGTCTGGGCCTGACTCCTCCCAAGAAAGAACTCTTTGACCCCTTCTACAGCCACACTCCCGACCAATCTGACCTTTGGTGGCGCAACATGCTGGAGAACCCATCGCTGGTGCAGCTGGACCACCGCTGTCTGGCCGTCACCACCTTCACTGCCATCATCGGTCTCTTCGCCTTTGCGCGCTACAACACGCGCCTCCGCGCCGCGTTGCCCCGCCCCGCGAAGAAGGGTCTCACCGGTGTCGTACACATCGCGTGGATGCAGGTCGCGCTTGGTATCAGCACACTCATCTACATGGTCCCCACACACCTAGCCGCGACGCACCAGGCCGGCAGCCTCGCGCTACTGAGCATGTCACTCATCCTCTGGAGCAGGCTGCGCACGCCGCGCGGGTTGGTCAAGATGGTCAATACTAAGGCGGCAGCAGGCCCGAGGGCTGCAAGCAGGGTCACTAGGCCGCAGTCAGCGCCGTCAAAGGCTGCGATTGCGGCTGCTTAGTGAGAATGATGGGTGAGCATGTGATTGCTTACTTGCTTGTGTAAACAGACGAACATGACTGAATGACGCGCCGGTAGAGCGTCTGTATATGGCTTCGGCCTGCTCCTTGTATCGCCCTCTTCTCTGTACTATAAAACAAAAGTTAAAATTGTCCAATTGCAAATATGGCCTAGCGCCGACGCCGAGACCAGTTTGGGTCTGGAGGCGAAGAACTCTCTTCTCACTTCACGTCGCTTCGCCATGCGCTGCTGCTGCAGAAGAAGGTTCTAGCAACACTGCTAACGCATCCCTCCATTGACGATTGCATAGCCACAGGGATGGATTTATTTCGTCAAGGGTGCGTTTAAGGCCCGCAGCATGACTACACTGTGGCACTGACTGATGGGTATCTCGCCTCGCAGATTGGAAAACAAGGGATGGTTGGGAATGGATGTGCTGGGCATGGGAAAGATTTCGTCGTGAAGGAAGCGAATCAGAAGACATGAGAAAAATCGAATGAAATAGGGTGATACTGTGGCCCACGAGGACACAAGAAAGTCGGGCTTCACGTGTGTGCCGTGAAGTTGTTGTTTTGATGGTCTCGTGATCGACATCCCCTCGTTCTTCCCATTTCCAGGGTGGAGCGTTGGTGCCCCGGTCAACACCAGCTGCAGCCCATCAGCGACAACGCCATGCGTTACGCCTCCAATAGCGCCGTTAAAGCGGCAGCAGCGAGTAGCACTCGTCCAAAGTCCACCACAGCCGCCAACCTCGACCCTACCGCAGCCTAAAGGGATAGCAACGCGGATATCCCGCAATATGTCATTGGTACCGTATGGCCCGGCTGAATCGCGGCAAATCGTCTTGTAAGTGACGCAGCTATCTACAGCTACCTACCACCCTCCACCTCCTCTCTGTTGAATAAGTGACAGTTAACGTATCATGTAGACGCCATGGATCTGCTGTTGTTGTCTACGACCAGCGCTCGAAGCAGCTCTCTCTGCGCTCTGCGCCTCACGCCTCTGGACTCGAGCTGGCCGACCCCGACTGTCCCTACTGCCATCGACCCCTGCGCGAGCAGACGCGCCACCAAAGTGACGCCGGAGGAAACGATGAAGAGCTACCGGAGACCGGGTTCGTGAACCCCGAATACTTTCGTATGCTGCATCACAGCACGCCTACCTCGACGGCATCTTCTCGCGAACCGTCGCCGCGCCGAAGACTCGACCAACGAACGCTGCGCCATACTTCCGGCAGTTCAGAATTGCACCCGCCCCCTGGCGCCGAGTTCGTCGCGAGCGCTCCTGCTTCGTCCGCATCGCCCCATGGCATCTCCTCGACCGCTTTCAGCCAAAACTACTTCAAAACATTCTTCGAGGAGGAGCGCGAGCTTGGTAGGGGTGGGAAGGGTGTCGTGCTTTTGGTCAAACATGTACTGGATGGTGTTTCCCTTGGGCAATTCGCGTGTAAGCGCGTACCCGTGGGCGACGATCACGAGTGGTTAAAGAAGGTTTTGGTCGAAGTCCAGCTCCTCCAGAACCTCTCCCACCAGAACCTCGTTTCATACAGACATGTTTGGCTGGAAGACTACCAAATCAACTCATTTAGTCCCAGCGTTCCTTGCGCCTTCATCCTTCAACAGTATTGCAACGCTGGTGATCTTCATCATTATGTCCTCAATCCGGCAAAGGAGTCCATAACCGCGCAACAACTCAAAGACCGAATGCGACGTAGGTCGAAAGGACAAGCCGAGCGGCCTCTCCATCTCAATGAACCCCGGCGTATGCAATTTGAGGAAATCTTCTCATTCTTTAAAGACATCACCGCAGGTTTACATCACCTGCATGCGAATGGATACATCCACCGTGATCTGAAGCCTCACAACTGCCTCCTACACACCGTGGGAGGCAAAACGAGAGTACTTGTCAGCGATTTCGGCGAGGTTCAAGTCGTGAACGTTGCGCGAAACTCAACAGGCTCCACTGGAACAATCTCATATTGTGCGCCGGAAGTTCTTCGACGGGAAACCACTGGGGCGTTCGGCAACTTCACGACCAAATCGGATGTCTTTTCGCTAGGCATGATCGTCTACTTTATGTGTTTCGGAGGCCTCCCTTACAAGAACGCCGATGACTTGCACGAAGAAAATGAGGATTTGGATCAGCTAAGGGCGGAGATTTCGCAGTGGATTGGGTTCGAAGATGCGCGCCGAGTCCGATCGGACCTCCCCGACAAGCTGTACTGGTTCCTAAAGCGGCTACTTTCGATGGACCCGAACGAGCGACCGACTACTGAGCAGATCCTGCAGGGCATCGGGGCAGCGTCTGGCCTGGAAGAGGTCAATGGGTTCGGATCAGCATCCATTTTTGAGGATATCCGTCCCCGGATTTCCCCAGCAGACTCGCCTTCCCCAGGGCCGGGGATGATGGGGGCTAGAAAGCAGTCGACAGGGCTTATCCGCCCTCCAACCCTCCGACCACGGCAAGCAACTGCTGAAGAGTATAGGTCGCCCAGTCCGCCGGTCAGCAGAAAACCTGCCCTCAGCCGGTCTTCAACTCCCCCGGAGTCGACAGTCGTGTTGCGGGCGAGAAAGGTTGAGCATCACTCGCCGTCCCCGCCTCCGGAGGCACTGAGTCCGACACCACGTCTTGCGCTGCCTCCGCCTTCAACATTGTCCTTACGACTGCACCATATTTTCTCAAGTCCCCTCACCATAGGCGCTGGCAAACTCGCGATATTCCTCGTAAAAGTGCTTTCAGTTTCCCGGCCATGTTCCCCCTTCGCCGCAAACCCATGGGTTGCATACCCTCTCCTTACCCTTGCAGCGTTTGATTTTGCGCTGGTGGGGTTTTCGCCAGCAGGCTTCCACGCAGGATGGGTCCTCTCGCTCGTGCTCATGACTATCCACTTTTTAGTGACTGGGGCGGCCTTGCGGTGGGATGGCCTGTGTTTGCAAAAATTGCCGGTCTGGCAAGATTTTTCTTCTTGATGGGCATCCTTGAGCGCGAATTTCCGCTGCCCAGGCGCTCCCGCCAACTAGGAGTTTTTTCTCTTTGCGGCGTTGTAGATTAGCTCGCATTAGTAATCGAAAGATCGACATTCAACATTCATGCAGCGGTATCTCCCTAGTTATCGCTTCTGCAATTGCCAGCAAGTGGCCGTCTTTTACGTGGACAGCCAAGTGCACCCCAGAGCGTACGAGTGATGGCCTTTGGCAGTAGATATTCCATATAAAATCATACATTCCAAGAGGTCTTGTTGGCCCTGCCTTAAAAGTTAACCCCACTATCACAACATCCACCAACTTCCAAGGTAGAGGTTGTAGGCCTTACATAAATCGCTCGACGGGCGATAAGACGCTGCGACTGAACGGCGCCGCCAGCGATCCTAGCTTCTCTGTAGGCGAGCAGAGCCGGCCGCAGAGTCCTAGCTCCCTTGACCCATGTCGTCGACCATCCGTGAGAGTAAGACAAAGCAAAGATAGGGCGGATTGTCTAACTCTTCTGGCCTGGACTGGTGTGTACGCAGGTCCCACTGACGTCGGCTGACAGCAGCTTACTACATACGGCAAGCACCGCAGCTAAGGAGCTCTGAGTGCGATGCTGTCTTTGCTGCTGTGCCCGACGATGATCCGCGTCGTCTTAAAAGGCGTCGTATGCCGCTGGTATAGCCGGCCAGTAGCAGCTCTTACCAGTACTCTTACGCTTAAGGTGCTGTCTCTGTTGTCCGAACAGCCGCGCTCTTCCCTGGTCCTGCCTTGACCATCCCTTCCTCCGCGCTGTCGACGAGCAATTCGCGGAAGATGCGCTTCTCCACCATTGCGGCCGGCCTTCTGGCGGCAGGCTCCTCTCTTTCATTGGCATCTCCCTTCGCGGCCGGGGGGTCTGTCGCTCGCCGAAGTGCAGGGGCTGGCATTGCCAAGCCAAAGGTCTTCATCATCAGCATGTTCACGCCGGAGGCGGACGTTTGGTGGGGGATTCCGGAGTTCGACCTCCTGGCAAAGAACGTCACGGTCCCAGGTTTCTCGCCGCTGTTTCCCGATGCTCATTGCACGGCCAATGGCGAGATCTGTCAGCTGGTTACTGGCGAAGGTGGTACGTCAAATTGTTCCTTATTTCTTTTTTTTCCTGTGTAAGATGGATTCGGAGAAAGACGATATTCAATTATTGTCACTTGCACGTGACATGCAGCCCGGCTTTCCCGAGACAGTCACTTACATTGTCCGCAGAAATCAATGCAGCAGTGACCATTGCTTCACTCCTCCGCTCTGGCCTCTTCGATCTTACCTCTACGTACTTCCTGATTGCTGGCATCGCTGGCATAAGCCCCGAGCTGGGTACGCTCGGCTCCGTCTCCTTCGCCCGATTCGCCATCCAGGTTGCGCTCCAGTATGAATTTGATGTGCGCGAGGTTCCCTCGAACTGGAGCACTGGCTATGTCCCTCAAGGCGCCAAGGAGCCACTCCAGTACCCTGTCGACATATACGGCACTGAAGTCTTCGAGGTCAACGACGCTCTTCGCCAAGTCGCCATGTCCTTCGCCAAGAAGGCCAGCCTGAACGACAGCGCCACCGCTGTGGCCTATCGCGCCAAGTATGCTACTTCCGACCTGTACGCAGCCGGTGCGCAGGGCCCTAGTGTCATTGCCTGCGATGTTGCTACCAGTGACGTTTACTACAGCGGCACGATCCTGTCATCTGTCTTTAGCAACTACACCAAGGTTATCACCAACGGCACGGGCGAGTATTGCGCTACGGCGCAGGAGGACAACGCGACACTGGAGGCAATGATGCGTGGTGCTGCCGACGGCATTGTTGACTACAGCCGCATCATCGTCATGCGCACGGCGTCTGACTTTGAGCGCCCTTACCCTGGCCAGGCAACCATTGACAACCTTCTGACGGTTGACCAAGGTGGATTTGAGCCTGCGGTCCAGAACATCTACCTTGCGGGCGTCAAGATCGTCGAGGGTATTCTGGATGGCTGGAACAGCACGTTTGCTAGTGGCGTCAAGGCCACCAATTACCTTGGAGACATCTTTGGCACGCTTGGTGGTCAGCCGGACTTTGGACCGTACGGCCCTTCGAACCCGGCGCTGAAGAAGAAGAGTGTGAAGAGGAACGTTAAGGGCAGACGGAACGTGCCCGTCAAGGTCCGCTTGTAGGTGACGCATGTAGTTATGAAATAGTGAATAGTATTTGTACTGCCCGGATGCGTAAACAGTAAACAGTAAACAGAGAGCAGAGTGGTGGGCTAAGCGAGCTGACCTCACGAGAGGCTTGGCGCATGTTTACCTTTCGCGACTCCCCTGCAACCTTGAACACACCCACAACAACAACAACAGGCGACGACTCTTCTCTTCTTCACGAGACCACCACCCCCGCATCACTGGGGCTCGCATGCTCTTTTAACCCACTGATAGCATCCTGCATCTTTGTTCTGGCTGCCGCTCAATTGCTACCTCGCATCTTATCTTGACCTAGACGCGCCGTGAGCTGGCCGTCGCGCCGCGCCATCCGTCCCCGCATCACCCGCCCGAAATGGCGCCTTCCCCCAACACCAGCGAGTCGCGTTCGAGGCTCATCCGCGAAATGTCCCAGAGCCTGAGAGAGTCCCGCAGAGACTCCGGCAGCAGCAGCAGCAGCAGCCAGCTGCCCTTCCCCACCTCTCCCGCCCGCGAATCCGTCAACAACACCTTGCCGAGCGCCGGCGACCTTGACCTTGGAACCGGCTCCAGCTTCGATCCCACGGCCGACGGCGCGTTTGAGTCGACGCGTAAGATTGACGAGACGACGCAAAATTTTCCCAACATCCGCTCGAGCGCGCAACGTATGAAGTACTGGCAACCACCACAACCTGCTCAGAACGTGAACACTTCCATGGTCGAACAAGAATTCCAAGACTTCTCCGACGAGCACTCTGGCGACGAAAGCAAATCCATCGAAATGAGTCGTGCTCCTCCAAGGAGTTTGCGGAACACCCCCAGCAAGATTGGCGGCGACTTATCGCGGAACAACCTCAGCATTGCTGACGACAGCCTTTACAACCTTTCCGAGGCGCGCAATCGCCCGCGCCCTACACCCAGGAGGAGCGCCGACGGTGTCGAGCGCGGTAGCCTCAGACGTGACGCGCAATTGAGGAGAGCTGCCTCTCTCCCACAGAAGGAGTTGGAATTGGCTTCGACACGCGCCACGAGGAATAACGACCGTGTTTCACCGGAAAAGGCGAAGAACAACGATAGACGCCGTAACACACTGGCGCAATTCCATGCCAGGGCATCGGAAGATGATACTTCCTTCATTGATGAGCGACCACCTACTGTGAACCTGTCCGTCAAGAACACGCGCTTTGGTAATGCGCGATCGCGTCAAGCCTCGGGTCTTCAGAATGATTTCCACACCGCATCCAGTGGTGGCTTGGACCGCAGCATACGGGAGGTCCAGACACCCCAGAGGCCTACGATTGGAACTCCTCGTTCCGCTCCTGGAAACGCGACCAACCAGTCTTTTATGCTTCCCGACCTGCCCAATTTGACCGAACTCGTTTCTGGCGTTTTCAAGGATGGTACGCCAGTTTTCTCTCGTAGCGCAAAGGCTCGTTCCCGGTTCTCTGCTGCGCCCATTCCCAGCCGCCTGAAGGAAGAATCTTCCAAGCACTACCCAATCGAGAATGTCCCAGTCCCTGCGGACGAGAAGGCTCTTTTCGCCGCCTTGCAGCTGCTTAAGGAAAAGCTCTCGCAAATGGAGCACGAGAAGACCGAGGCGGACAAGAAGATTGAAGATTATGAAGCCGAAGTCGCGGGTCTGAAGGCTGAACTTCGCACGCAGGAGCACAGGAAGGGTAGAGACAGTGCGCTTGGCTCCACGGATAGCGAGAGCAACAAGAGAGATAACTGGAGGGTGGAGAAGATGAGTAAGTGTTGATTTATGTAACAATAATGTTGTTTCGTCGCTAACCTATTGGAACAGAACTCGAGTCCGCGATTGATGCTCTTCGAGGCCGTGTGGATCGCGCAGAGCGCAAGAACTCTTTGTCGGAAATTGCTACGAAGCGGATCACTGAGGAGCGTGATAACGCCGTCACCCAACTAGGCGTTGCTTACTACAACTCCGAGGAGCTCAAGGGAGAGCGCGACGCCTTGCAAGCCGAAAACGACACCCTCCGCAATGAGGTCGATACTCTCCGTATCGAGAACGAGGAGCTCCAAATCCGCCTTGCGCAGTTTGAGGAGCGTTCTGAAAAGCTTCAAAAGAGAGCATCTCGCGGAGATAATGCAGTTCGCAAAGAGAACGAGACTCTGCACGCAGAGCTCGAAAAATTCCAAGCCATCCAGGCCGAGCAAGCCAAGCTCAAGGGCGAGAATGAGGCGCTCAAGGCTCAAGTGAATCAAATAAGACAACAGCGCGAAGAGGATACACGGCGCCGCAACCGCAAAGAGGCCGAGCTCCGCAGCAGGTTAGACCGGAGGGATGAAACCATCCAACAACTTCAGGACATGACACAGGAGGAGGTCAACGATACTCTCCGAAACGAGAACGAGGAGCTCCGTATCCAGTTGGCACAACTGGCAGCCCAGCGTGATGATGACGCCCGTGACTGGGCCAAGAGAGAGGCTCGCCTGCAGAGGAAGGTCGAGAAGAGCCAAGACACCGCGCGCGAGGCGCAAGATATCACCAGGGAGATTATGAGCGTCAGGCGTACCGGCTCTCAGAAGCGTGCTTCTAAGGGCGATGACAGGCCTACTCAAACCGAGGTTCGCAACTCTCAGACTACAGGCCGAGAGGAGCCAACTTCCACCTTCCGCTCAAAGTCGAAGTCGAGGCCCGCTCCCGCGAAGGCTTATCGCTCGGCATCCGCCCCTGAGACCCGTACTCAGCAGGACATGGACATCAGCGACGTCGAGTCCACCACGGACCTTGATGCAATGAGCCATGTTCGTAACCCAGGCCGCAACGATGAGCCCACCGGTAACACCACTGAGCTGAGCTTCATGGGACATGATGAGGTCGCACGTTTGAGAAAGGCTCTTGAGGAAGAGCGGGCAGCTGCTCGCAAGAATGTCAGCCAAACCCGTCAGGATGACACTACGCGCTCCCAACGCACTCAACCAGTGCCGCGCAAATCCTCTATGAAGGACCTGACTAACGCATCGGTTCCCATGGACATCACTGAGAGCAAGACTGGACGTATTCTCAGCGGCCACCTTCTCGAGCCCACCTCTACCATCCCCGAAAAGCAAGACACGGAGCGCTCGATCCTTGGCCGGTCTACCCGTCGCCGCCGTCCCAGTGGACCTGGTGAGATGACTTCGGCTTTCATTCTACCAGACATCACTATGCAAGCCAAGACTCCCCTGACCCCCGAGGAGCCCCATGAGAGCACCAACTGCACCGTCTGTCGCAAGACCTCTTGTACAGAGGAGCACTCTGTGCCCATCGACATCCCGGAACCGGTCCCTGTTTCCGAGCGCATGCCTGATGACGTCGACGCGACGATGCGGCCCTCGCAGCCGGCACCGCTCGCCCTCGCCACTGTCATTAAGGAGCTGCAAGATGAGCTCGCGCACCTGAACCTGCAGAAGGCGGCGTACGACTCCCTGCTCCGCGGCCATGATGCCTCGCTCAGCAAGCGCAAGCGTAAGGCCATCGAGGGTAAGATCGCCGACCTCTTGGAGGCCATCAGCACCAAGTCAGACCAGATCTATGCGCTGTACGATGTCGTGGAGGGACAGAAGGCTGCAGGGCAGCTTCACGAAGACAATGACAACAATGAGGACATGGGCGAGAAGGAGATTGAGGAGACGCTGATGAGCGTAGGTATTGACCCTGAGGAGATGCGCGAGAAGACGCAACATAAGCCAGTGCCGGCGGCGGGGCGGAACAACAACAATGGCAAAAGCAAAGGACCGGCCAAGAAAGTCGTCATTGAAGATGGGGGCCACAGCGCTGATGAGAGTGAGGAACTCCCTTGGGAGGGTATCAGTGACTCGGAGAGCTTGCCGGATCTGATGAGCGGGAGGGCGTGGAAGAGGAAGACGGCGGCTTATTAAGAAGTGTATGTAGGTGCCGGTGTTGAAAACGGTTCGAAATCAGGGGAGTGTGCGGTTTGGTTGGGCCTAGGGCGTCTGCGGCTCTCTTTCGGCTACAGTTTGGCGGCGTTGTTAATGGCTAGGATTGGTTGGGGTTTTGGTTACGGAGCTTGTGGATTTGAGCGCTTAGGTTGCTACTACTACCACTACTACTAGCTTTTTATTGGCGGTATCATCATTGCATTTATATATGACAATACTGCTGTGTGTGCTGCTTCTTTTTGTGATTGTTTCCCCCTTAGTCTATTGCCAACATTATAACATTATGGTGTACTATTCATCTATCTTATACATTCAAGCCTTCGCCCCTCCTGCAATGCAGCCCCTCATCCCATCATGTCCTCCACTTCCCTCACACCCACAACGACAACCCTCTCCCTTCCCCACCCTTTACCACACACACCGACACCGCCCACTCCCAGTTCTCTTACCCTTGCCCCGCCCTCAGCACCAGCACCAGCGTGCCACTGACAACATCCCCCCGCACTAGGCCCGTGCCCGCAGTTATGACACGCCCAGAGCGTGGCCCCGTTGGAGGCGGCGCAGGCGCAGCAGTCCCAGTAGGAGGAAGACGAGGACGAGGAGATGGAGGAGATGGGGGAGGCGGGCATGTGTGTTTTTTTGAGTGTGTATGCGAGAGAGAGAGAGAGAAAGAGACCTCTGTCTCTTTCTTCTGGTGTCGTTGGTGGTAAGAGAAAAGATGATGAGGGAGGCGAGGGAAGCGATGATAAGGAGGTGGGATTGGTGGGGTTGAATTGCTTTCCTGAGTGGGTGGACGGATGGGTTTTCGGGCGTGTGCGTGTGTGTGTAGGATGAAGACCTTGAGACTTGCCTGGTTGGTGGCGACGTCTGGTCCAGATGGATGGGTTGTTGGCTCGCTGGTGGATTTCCTTTCAGGTGCGTGGACAAATGTATGTCTAGCCAGGTGAACGGATTCCTAGTAAGACGATGGATATTGGATCCGCGGATCCAGAAATCAAGAGAGGAGGATTGACGATCTCAGTGGCTGTTCTCGCGCGGAGAACAGAGCTGGATATGTAGACGAGAGGCAGTGCCGTAAAGCGGTGGTGATGAATGTTTTATGTTGTTATTTCAATCGCTGTACTCTCTACGACTGCTTCTGATAGATTGGTTGTTTGACTGCCCGCTTCTTAGATAAAATAGGGTTGTAGTCTGGTTTCCGTCTCGCGGTTCGGATGTTTGTGTTTGATGATATATGTATGTATGGATGGATAATCCGCTAACTCTCTCGACAAGTGCTCCGCGATGTTGAATGGACGGCCCGGTCGATAGATGAATAAACAGATAGATGGATCAATGGTTCAATGGATGGATGGGCGTCGCTTTTGTCATATATTGTGCTTCCAGGCACCACTCAACGACAGCGCCACCCATAAGTACCGGTCCTACAGCCATGCTCTCATCATGCCATCATCAGGCGGCGCCGCGAATCTCGTGGTCTCCTCGGCCGCGCCCCAAACGTCCACGCCATCCCGCCCTCTATCAGGCTAAGCGGCCGCCGCCTCCCGCCGCCACGTTGTGCGAGCCGTTCGCTATTCTCCTCGTCACATGCTAGTGTAGACACCAAGACAGGTCCCCTTGCAACCTTTTAAACATATTACCCTTTCCATTTAAACTATCTACTGTGCGCCCTTTGTTCCGGGGAAAGAAGTGCCCCCTTGTCCTCGCGCCCGCTCGTCCTTGCGGGCTAGCTGCATCTCCCTCAAATTGTGTCGTGGACAACAGCAATAATCAGAAAAAGGAAAGTGTGAAGCAAAGATCAAATACGCCTTTTCCCTTTCGAAGAACCGGCTCCGTGGCCCTCCGCCGCCGTCATACCATGGCCATGCAATCTGCGAGCAAGTGCAAAGGAAAGAGACGACCGGTAAAGCAGGGATTGTCGAAAAGCATTAAAAAGTGTTGCGCGTGCAAAACGTTGGGGAAGTGGGGTGGGGTGGTGTGGTTTGATGTGGGGATGATGCTGGAAAGTGGAGTGGAACGGCGAAACGGCAAGATCGTGTGATGGATGCTGCCATCCACGGCCGCAAATGGAGGTTGGGTCATCTCGAATGGGGTTCATGTCCGAAGTAGGGTTTTAGGAAAGATGGAACGCGCCCTGGCCCTCCTTAATGGCGACGAAGAGCTTCTCGCGCAAAATGTCGACGTTGGAGTAGTCGGGCATCTTGAGATAGTTGACGCAAGTCATGACGCTAGGCAGGTAGTCGTCAGACGTGTACGGTGGTTCGCTTGGCTTGCACACGACAGTGAACATGGGCGTGAGAGATTTGAAGCCTATTGCGCAGTTAGCATTTCTGTAGATAATTCAGTAAAGGAATTGAACTGATACGTACCTCCGATGGGAAGCTTCGGGCTGCCAGTCACGAATTGAAGGAAGTCGCGGCGTTGTGGCGGAGTAAGCTCGCTCATAACGTGGAGCAAGTTACGCACGCTCTTGCTGTCAAGGTTGTAGCCGTGATCGGCCTTGATCGAGTCCATGAGTGTCTCAAGCGACCAATCTTCCTCAACGCGGCCAAAGAGCATGACTAGCTCGTCCGATGTGAAGGCCTTCAAGGCAGAGTAAGGGAAGACCTGGGAAAAGCCGATGCGGAATGACTCGGCCTGTCTCTCAACGCCGCTGCCGAGAGTAAAGTCCAAGACCTTCTCGACATACAAACCAACATTGTCGATGGTAACCGGGATCTCAGATCCACCCGGAATCAAATCGATCGGGTATCCGGGAAGCGTGAAGTCGATGCCCAGGTCGTTAATGTGGCATCCCGCAACTTGGATTTCCTGGACTGCCTTGACCTTCTGAGCAGCATCAAGGTGCGGAGTCTCATCGATCTTCTTCTTCGCGTTGGCGAACTGCTTGAACATCGCGAGAGACTTGGCAAGATCCTCGTCGACCGACTTAACCATGCCCAAAGAAGGTGCAGCTGCAGCGCTGTCCCCGATACGGAAGAAAGTAGGGTTGAAAGAGACATCGACGATGCGCGAGTCGAGCATCGAGCGGGCGACGAACTTGCCGAGAATCTTGAAAAGGTGAATAACCTTCTTACCGTTCTCGGTTTCCGCTTGTTCCGCACTCATGGGTGCTGGGAAAAGGCCACGCTTGCCAAAAGCAAACTCATCCTGCTCGTTTGACTCGTTCTCTCTCCACAGCTTGAGCTTCTTCTTTGAGAACTCCTTGGAAACAGTAGAGTAGAACTCCAATGTCGGACCCAAGCCAGTACCAACTTCTTCGAAATACTCCACTTCAAGCACGCTAGGAGACGAACCGTACAGCTCCATGACCTTGACAGCCGATTCAAGAATCTTGGTTCGAGAAATGCGCACCTTCTGTCGTTGCAGCCTGCCCAAGAAGGGCCTCTCATCTCTATGACGATCGTGACGAGAGTCGTTGGCTGACTGTGCGTTCTGCCATCTAGTCATTGACCGCGAGTAACCGAAGGACGTTGACTGAAGGAAAAGGTGACGAGTCTCGAATGGGAAGAGGAAAGGGTAAAACCTCGCAAGGTCCTCGCTCCAGCTAGGCAGGCAGTTGCTCGCGACGATCAAAGGCTCTTCAAGCTGCCGGTTGAGCTTAGCAGTAAGTTTTGTGTTGACAAACTGAGAAGGTGGCTCGCCATTGACCTTGATCTCGTCCTTCTTCTCAGAGAGGACATCATCAAGGTTGGCGTTGAGCTCATGGAGAATGCTCAGCAAACGCAAGATAATCGAAGTGGTAGGATTCTTGTTCAAGGATTGCGGAATGCCAGAGGTCGACTCTAAACTTGCTTCTGGTGGAGGAGTGAGAGAACTCTCCGCTGGTGGTGGTCCTGCAGCACGTTTGAACTTGATAGTGTGAGTTGGCGACCAAATGTTGCGCGAGGCATCAGATCCTTCGGTCTGGCTCATGTGAACGGCACGGTAGATGGTCGTCTCATTGGAAATGGGCTGGTCGTTGACGCTGAACTCGATGTGCCAATCCTGAGGAACGGTCTGGATGGCAGCGGCATAAGACAACGGTCGCGAAGACGATGTAGAGCTGCCACCAAGAGCGCGCTGATAGGCCAAGTTGGCGAGTTGTTCGGTCGCCATTCTCTCTGCCATGGAACGGTCTGCCTGGGCCGCGCGTGCAGAAGAGGGCGTAGCACCGCCAAGTGGAGTAGCGACCCTCGTCCCGTCTTCTTGACGAGCAGTCACTCTTCCGGTTGAGGCGACTTCTACGTTAACCGCAGACGGGTCCGGTACATCCTCGTCCATTTCCTCGTCGAGATCATCAACAATGTCAAGGTCGCCTCCGTCTCCCATATCCTCATCCTCATCGGATAACTGAGCTTCATCAGCACATTCCAGAGTATCTCTGATATCATCCAAAGATGATGCCGCTGGAGGCGGTGGAGGAGGCGGGGGGTTTTGCGCTTGTTCATCGCGTTTCCTGCTCGAGCGCCTCGTGCTGGTCTGCTTAGCAGGCGTTGCACTCGACTCTGGGGCGGCATTTGCGGTAGTTGAGGACTTTGGCTTCGGAGTCCTTCTCGACGAAGACGCGCGGTTCGTGCTGTGGTGAGGGGCCGGTAGAGGCGGTGTGCCAGGGGCATCTCTTCCTGCCATCATGCCACCGCGTCCAGCAATTGCAGCGGCGTAGGCCGCTATGGCACCTGAAACGCCATCCCTGCTCCGCCCCGAAGGTCTAGGACGATCCGCAAGAGCGATCCGAGGCCGTAGATAATCATCCAGCGCCTTGAAATTGGCGATGGCGTGAATAGACACCATGATGTTCCTGTAGGAGCGCGGAATTCCGGAGTCTTCATCAGCAACCAATTTCAACCGCAGCTGTTTGGCCAGCATAGATGCGGCAGAACTGCGATTACTGTCAAATGTGTTTTGATGGACAGTGATGACCTCAAAATGCTCGGCACGGCTAAGCAGATCTTGTAGCTTGCTCACGAGGATGCTGAAAGGAGTGACGGGCGAGGCAATGCTTGCGGTCTTCTGCTTGTTTTGAGTCGTCGTGCCCATGAACGCTTCGAGGAATGCAGTCCTCGCCTCGACCTTGCCCTCGATATTTGAATCAGAGAACAATTCGAGCAAAGACTCGACAATACCAGAGGTAAGCAGTTCGTAGCTGGTTATGCTTTCAAGAGCATCACCGTCGAAATAAGAGGCCAGACGTACGAAGAGGTTGTTGCCGTTGCCAATGTAATCGCCAGTGTAAGAACCCTTGATTTCTTGAGCTAAGCTCCTCAGGCCTTCCAGGATTGCAAGTGCCTTATCGCGCATGTCTTTACCTTGGTTGCTTTCATGGACTTCCATGAACTTCTTCGCACGCATCGTTATGATATCATCAATATTTGGCAGAGGAGCGACCAAGCGGTGGTCAGAGGAGGAAGAAGAATCAGAGTCGTCATCCTCATCATCTTCGTCGTCATGGTCATGGCGGCCCTCATCGTCCTCTTCGGAATGCATGTCGTGGTCCTGGTCGTCGTCCATGCCGCGTTCGAGCTCCTCATCACCTGCCAAGCTGCTCGCTACACTCGAAGTCCCAAGGGGATCACCAGCAGAGGCTTTCTTGGGAGATTTTGGTTTCTCCTCCAGGCTCTTGCATGGCCTCTCGGCCAGTCTTGAGATTTCGGCAATAACGCCCTCGCGGTAGAACTGGTACCTATAAATATGCTCCAGGCGCTTCAGGAGAAGTTCCGCCGCCTGTAGAGCAAAAGTAACTAGGGTCGAGTGGTCTTGTTGAGAAAGGATAGAGGCCAAGTAGGAAGCATACGGCACAGCCCGGAGTGCTTCCTTCAGAATTTCTTCGTCCAAATTGGAGAGCATTTTGAGCTGAGCCGTCAAGACCTTTTGACGTACGCTAAGGTTGACAGTGCTCGAGTAGGCATCGGTCAGGGTTGGCAAAAGGATGACTGCAAAGCGTTTGAGTTCATCTCTGCAGCTTTCCAAGAGCTCCAGCCTCTTCTCGTTCGGAGACTTTTTTGATCTGGTAGACATTGACATCGAGTCATCGCCAGGGTACCCAGCATCAAGTAAATCGTCCAAGTACATGAGTCCATCCTTCTGTACACTAGGTAACAACTCACAAATGACATTCAAGGTCTCGAAGATTTGCTCGCGCGGCCGGTGGATAAGTGCTTGCATAATGACCACGCTATCGATCTTGGTCGCAATGTCCTCAGTACCGTCAGGTGGTGATACACCAGTCAGGATCTGGTAAAGGGTATCCACCACCTGCATCTTGAAGAGCTCCACCGAGAGCCGCGGGCTGGCCCGGGCCGTGATGGAGAGAACACGGAGGAAGAGGGTGTGGATGTTTGGACCGATGAGGTTCGTCGAGCCCGGTAGTAGGAGGCGCAATATAGTTTGAAGCAACTCTGGGCTCACGAGCTCTTCGAGCCTGCTCTCTTGGTATTTGAAACTCTCGACAACCCTCGAAACACAATAGCAGCCTTGCTCAACAACACGCTGGTCACTGCTATTGAGGACGTTGAGGAGAATTGGCATCACGTCCCGGACAGTAGCAAAGCAGTCTCCAGGTATGTTGCGGCAGCAGTTAGCCGCAGTCGTGACAGCGGTCCTCTGCGTGCTCGTGGGGAAAAAGTCCAAATAGGTCAAACAGGCGGTCAATCCGCCTTCACGGACGATAGAGCCAGGGAATTCAACCGAAATCTTTTCGAGTGTCTGTAAAGTGATTAGCATAGGCGCTCCTCTTATTTGCGCCTGAGAGAACTTACGCTCAGGGCCTGTTCCGCCAGATCAATGAAATGAATCTCCAGCAGCTTCTGACACAGAATCGGGACTGCGCCCCCGTAGACGACATTGGCTGTGGCCGCAGGAAGAGCTTCCATCAAGTTTGCGATGCAACGACACGCTAGAAGCATGATTTCCGGATTCTCATCACCGTATTCGTTCGGTTGCATGAGGGTGACTAGCTCTTTGACATACTGGTCTGGCGAGAAGTGACCCGCAAGATTATCTTCAGTCGAAACAAGCAGAATCTCTGAGAGCTCCTGCAGTGCGATCAATTGCACTGATGGGTCGTCTTTGTTTCTCAAGTTCTCCAGTATGTTGCGCAGTCGTGAGGACATTCCCGACATCATGCCACTCAGTGCCCGAAGAGTATTCGACAGCGCTCCTGGCCCACCGCGGGCGAGGAAGCTACCTCCAAACGGATCATCGTCGTCTTCTTCATCGTCCTCGTCGTACCGTGGCATACCCTCACCAGTGCTGTCATCGCTCATGCCATGTCGACCTCTGTCTGCACCCTCGTCTTGTCCTTCCGGAATGTCGTCCTCATCTCCCATGTCGACGTCTTCGTCGGGCTTGCTCGAGTGTTTCTTCGAGCGGCGGCCCGGCGAGGTTGCGGAGGTAGTAGGGTCTAGAACGAGTTAGAGACATCCATGGTTTATGTAGCAATGGCAAGGAGCTTGCGATACTCACCTTGTGCTTCCTTTCTGCGGCTGCTCTTGCGGCGCGTCGACGATGAAGGAGCGGGCGCGGGATTCTTCTCCTCCGAAGGCCCAGCGGATGCTCTGCGCACGTTAGCGTGGTGAGAGTGGGGGAGGGGGGACGAGACGACGGCATACCCAGCACTGGACATGGCTGTGTCTGCTTTACGCTTCCTCCGGGTTGCCGTCGATGGAGCGGGGGGTGGCGGGTCTGGAGCCTCGACTTTGGTTCGCTTGGCGCTCCTGGAGGCAGCGGCTCCACGTCGACCAGCTACGCGAGCTGGAGCAGACTCCTGGGGTTGATCTGGGCTTGGATCGCGAGCTGGTGCTTTCCGTTTCCGAGCAGAGGGCGGCGGCGGAGCAGGTGTGGCGGGGGGCGGGGGGTCGGGAGGAGCTGTGGAGGAACCTGCTGCTGAGCGCCTCGCAGAAGAGCGAGTTACTCTTGAAGACATGAGAAACTGATTGATCTGGCTGAGTGAAGGAGCTCGAAGCGCCGACTGTAGCCCGGCGGGAGGGCGTGGCAGCTATCGGGAGCAGGGCACTCGGCACAGCGGGTGGGTTTGATGGGCGGTGGCGACAAAAAGATGAAGGGCTGATGAGAAGTGGTTGGGGTTGTACCTGGAAGAGACTGGGGTGGGAGTCGAAGCAGCCGTGTGAAGCAGTCCGGATGGTGAATGTGCTGGCGACTGACACTCCCGGTCCATGCCATCAATCTACGACCGGGCGGCCATAGGCGAAGCGGGTGGGAAGCGAGCGGCAAGGCGGGAAGCAGCGAGCTCTTTCGAATATGGAAGGGAGGGAGGGATGTAGATGGTGGCTACTCTCTGGTGCTAGGCCGAGCCCGCTTAATCAGAAGCTTTGGATGGATAGATGACATGGGCTTTCCGCGCGCTTACAGTAAGGTGCCGCTTAGATGGAGGCTGCTGGTGGTCAGCCCTATGCACCACCGCTCCACCCAAAACCTCAGGCCATGGTTCTATCGTCGACGAAACTATATTACCTCACGTCCCTCTCGGCCGTTTTTTCAAGCCAAGGCACGCCGCGATCGTGCGTGAGAATAGTCTCATGTCGGCGATTGCGGCGGCCCCCCCGGACTCGGCAGGGTCTTCTTCTTTAAGACGATCGCGCGCTGCTCTCGTCGGCTTAGGCTAAGCTACCTAACGCCCTCCTCCTTCTCGCGCGACCCCGCCGTCTTTCCATCCATCCACTTCCTTCCAGCCGGTTGCGTCCTCGTTACCTATTTGACCCCTCACCTTCCCACCCTTCCAACCGTGCCCGCCTCTCTGACCTCCGACCGACCTGACCGAACTTCCCGGCCCGCCGCCGTTCGCCTCGGACGTCATACTTCGACTCATATCCGCTTCACCACCGTCTCAACCCTCACCACCTCTCTCCCTCTTCTTTTCCACACCCACCACTTTTTCCCTCCCCAGACGCCGCCATGTCGCAGTCCCCGCAAAATGGCGTCTCTGGCCACTCCACGCCCGCTCTCGAGCTGGCCGACTACCAGTTTCCCACCCAGCGCCTGAAGAAGGTGCTCAGCGACAGCGGCAAGACCCCCCTGGTCTTGGTCGCATGCGGCTCCTTCAGCCCTATTACCTACCTGCACCTGCGCATATTCGAAATGGCCCGGGACTGGGCCCGGTACAACACCGATTTCGAAGTTATCGGTGGTTTTCTTTCACCAGTCGGCGACGCCTACAAGAAAGCTGGGCTCGCTTCTGCAAACCACCGTGTACGGATGTGCGAGCTCGCCGTCGACGACTCGCCTTGGGTCGTCGTTGACAAATGGGAGCCACTGCACAAAGAGTACCAGCCCACGGCCCGTGTGCTAGACCACTTCGACCATGAGCTGAACGAAGTCCTTGGCGGTATTGAGGATTACACGGGCCAGAAGAAGAAGATCAGAGTGGCGCTCCTTGCTGGAGCCGATTTGATCCAGACCATGTCTACCCCGAATCTGTGGGCACCCAAGGATCTCGACCACATTCTGGGAGAGTATGGTGCATTCATTGTCGAGCGCGAAGGCACCGATATCGACGATGCGCTTGCCAGTCTCCAACAATGGCGGAACAACATCTACGTCATCCACCAGCTTGTGAAGAATGACGTTTCCAGCACGAGAATAAGGCTGTTTTTGAAGCGCGACATGTCGATTCGTTACTTGGTGCCAGAGCCGGTCGTCAAGTACATCGAGGCAAACGCACTTTACAATGACGATGTAGCTTCGGTGGCTGGCAAGGACCAGCCCGAGAACAAGGGGAAGGCTATTGCTGAGGCCTCTGGCTCCACGACGGTCTAGATTGATTCTGGACAGCATGCTGTGTTTCGACCGACAGGGGTGGTCGACTTTCTTATTTTTGCCGTTTACGATGGGATACCATGCAATCGAGGCTGGGTAGGTATGGCGTTGGGTTAAATTTAGATATCAGACAGAGAGCCGTCACCGGCGCCACATGGGCGGCTTCTGTCTTTTGTGCATAGAGTAGCAAAGAATTGCAAGATCTCTCACCTATGGATGACGCTCGGCACGGCCCGATGTTGCCCGAGTAACAATTGATTGGCTGTCACTTGCCCATGCAGTCCCTCAGCAGCCTAAGATAAACGCGTGGCTGTGACGCCTCTCCCGCCAGCAAATCACTAGGTATATCCCATCTCCTACACCTTCCCGCCCCGCGCCCTCGTTCCCTCTACGACCGCCGCCCTGATTCCTCCACGCGCGAACCGGCTCCAATGCCCCGGGACTCGTACCGCCGCGACCGCGACTATTCCTACGACCGAGAGCCCGAGCGAGACCGTGATCGTGATCGGCGCCGGGAAAGCAGAGATCGGAGCAGAGCTGCGCGGGGCTCCAGGCACAGAGACAACAGCACCCGCGACAGCGGTCGAGAGAGCGGCAGAGACAGCGACCGGGAAAGAGAAAGGAGACACCGCCGTCGCGAGCGAGAATACCACAGCGGCTACGAGTCCAACAACCGCGACTACGACACCGACCGCGCACGCCGCGAGCGGCACGAGCGCCGCGAACGCTACGAACGCCGCGCACGCCGCGAACGCCCACGCGAGCACGAACATGATCATGACCGCGATCGCTCGCAGCGCAAGCGCCGCGGACATCGCGCGACCGACTCGACGGGGGAGTTGCTGCCAAGGCCGGAGCGCTCGTACGACAGTCCTTACCACGAGGGAAATCGCAGCCCAACCAAATCGCGGCATCCTCGACACCATGCCCGCGGCGAGTCGGCGCCCGATACGGGCGGCAGCGGCGGCCCGCTGCTGATGGACAGCTTGGCGCAGTTGGACAGGCAGAATGCGAAGGGCGGGTGGCGCAGGTATGACGATGAGTATGTGCGTGAGGTGAGGGAGAAGGAAAAGGAGCTGGAGAGGGCACGGAGGAAAGAGGAGAGAGAGGAGAAGAGGGAAAGGGATAGGAGGAGGGAAGAGCGCAGGGCTAGAGAGGTGGAAATGGATAAGAGGAAGAGGTACGAGCAGGAAATGGGTTTCAGAAGGAGCAAGGCCACAGTGGATCCGGAGCTGGAAGACGAGCTGTTGAATCATGAAGAAGACGATGATTATAGTGATGAGGTGGACACGCACTTTGGGCCGGTCCCATTTTTGGATTCTCCCCGAAAAACCAGGCGCAGCGAATATTTGCACTCTCCCGAAAGGCCACTCAAAACCGGCTACACGGAGTCTCCAGGAAGAAGGAAAGAATACACCGAGTCTGAGCTTGATGAGATGGAGGAGCGGCAAATGCAAAGGAAAGGGAAAGCCTACGCCAGCGGCGCCTTTGTGGGAGGGAAGCCCAAAAACCGGGTTGTCAGTGGTCCTTTGCTGGAGAAGGGTGCTCATGAAGAGTACGAATACCATATGACCCGGAGAGGCGGTGGTGCCAGTGTGCCGTCAGATTATGATGATGTTGGACAAGGGAAGCGGAAGAAATGGAAGAGATGGATTATTATTGCGGCCGTCCTCATCGTAATTCTCGCTATTGTCATTCCGGTGGCTGTGGTGATGTCGAAGAAGAGTTCAGACCACGACAGTCCAGCCGCCACTGCGTCTTCGGGTCCTAATAACAGCAACCTGGACGGCATGTCTGAAGACGACATCCCTAAAGATGCTCAGGGCACCATACTGGATCCGTTTACCTGGTACGACACACTGGATTTCAACGTCACATACACTGGGGAGACCGTGGGCGGCCTCTCTGTAATGGGCCTCAATAACAGCTATAATGACAATGTAAGAGCAAACGACAAGGTGCCGCCATTGAACGAAACATTCAAATATGGCAACATGTCAATCCGTGGGGTCAACTTGGGAGGCTGGCTGAGCATTGAGCCTTTCATCACACCATCCTTCTTCGAAAGCTACAGCACAAAGCAAAACGTAATCGACGAGTTTACCCTAACGACAGCTCTGGGTGCAAGCAAAGCTGCCTCCAAGCTAGAGCAGCACTACTCGACCTTTGTAACACGCAAGACGCTCGAAGACATCCGCAACGCCGGCTTCGACCACGTGCGCATCCCCTTCAGCTACTGGGCCGTTAGGACATACGACGACGACCCATACGTGCCGCAGATATCGTGGCGGTACCTTCTCCGTGGGATCGAATGGGCGCGGCAGAATGGGCTGCGGGTGAACCTAGACCTGCACGCGCTGCCAGGGAGCCAAAACGGATGGAACCACAGCGGGCGACAGGGCGTCATCGGATGGCTCAACGGCACCGATGGCGACCTCAACGCGCAACGCAGCCTCGATGTCCACGACCAGTTGTCCAAGTTCTTCGCGCAACCGCGCTACAAGAATCTCGTGACAATGTACGGACTCGCCAACGAGCCGAAAATGGTCGACCTAGACACACAATCCGTACTGGACTGGTACAACCAAGCCATCCCCCTCATCCGCAACAACGGAATCGAAGGCATAATCGTCTTCGGCGACGGCTTCATGGGCCTCGACAACTGGCAAGGCAAGCTGCAAAACTACACGGACCTACTCCTCGACGTGCACCAATACGTCATCTTCAACGTCGACCAAATCGTGCTCTCGCACAGCGAGAAGCTCAACTTCGCCTGCAAAGGCTGGACGCAGCAAAGCACGCGGTCGATGAACAAGGAGACGGGCTTCGGGCCCACCATGTGCGGCGAGTGGAGCCAGGCCGATGCCGACTGCGCGCAGTACATCAACAACGTCGGCTGGGGCACCCGCTGGGAGGGCACGTACAACACGGGCAACGACAGCACCAACGTACTGCAGCCGACGTGCCCGGCCCTGAACGCGACGTGCAGCTGCGCCAACGCCAACGCCGATCCCGCAGAGTACTCGGAGCCGTACAAGAAGTGGCTGCTAGACTTCGCTCTGGCGCAAATGTACAGCTTTGAACAGGGCTGGGGCTGGTTTTACTGGACGTGGAAGACCGAGCGCGCCACCCAGTGGAGCTATGAGCTTGGTATGAAGGCGGGCATTTTGCCCCAAAAGGTTTGGGATCGGGACTTCAGCTGCGAGACTGATAGTATTCCGGATTTTGGGGAGATGGGCTTGCCCGACTATTACTGAGACCGAATGGCTGGGACTAGAATGAGGGAAAGGGGGTATGGTTGCATGGCTTTGAACGCAGGACTGGACGGCATGGCGTTGGGGTGTGGTCGTCGTTGCTTTTGTCTTCGTGCGACGTCTTCGAAATGGGTTCTTGCTTTTTTCTGGCATCGGTCAGCGGTCATGGCATCTTTGGCTTTTCCACCAGCGCGTCGTATAAGTAATGTCGTCGCTCATATGATGAGGATATGCTTTTCTTTACGCATAGCGAGTCGAGGGCTTATGGGACGGCATTTTGTAGACGTCCGAGCTGGTCTCTGGATGTCCAGTTACACGTACATTAGCGACAAGGCGTTTTGCGTTAAGAATATTGGTCAAATGAATCATATTGGAACAAAGAGTCTGCAAGCATTGGAATACCCTGTCTACATGCGAGAGACTGAACGATGTTTGGATAAACGGCCAACGTTGATGGCACCAAACTCCAAAGCTATGGGGTATGACTATACGCCAACATTGTAATATCCCAACTCCCAGATAGATCCGGTGTACAAACAGCCACCCCTATAGTCTCGGTTCCCAATTAATCCCATCTCGTACTCCATGCGAAACGAACAATCTCCGGAACTCCAAACACGACGCGCCCCTATCTCACTTTTTTTTTCTTAAGATCTCCGGGCCACACCCGTAACGATCAGTTCGCCGCTCCCAGCCTCGTACTTCCATCCCTCTTGCATCAACATCCTCCCGACCGCCGGACCGATCTTGCTCTTCCCATCCTCGTTATGCCTGCCCTTACCAGTGATGATAGTGAAACCATCACCGATTCCCCCTCTTCCACCAGAATAACTCTTGATCCTCGCCTCTCCTAGTCCCGCCCACCACGCATTGACGCGCTCTCGCGTGATCCTGGTCGCGTCCTTGACACTTACGCCGTGCAGATCGAGTCGTGTAGGCGTGCTTTGTGCCGCCACGAGCGCGTCTGCCTCCTGTGCGCTGGCGACCTTGAGCGCGCGACTGAGTTCCCGGCCTTGTTCGCCGTAGTACCCGGCCACCGCTTTCATGAGCTTGTCCGACTTGCCCCTGCGGAAGGCGTTCGAAGCCTGGTCGAAAGCCGCCGAGCGGGCGGCGCTGAATGCCGAAGCAGTGGTCCCGAGGGGGGTTGATGCTGGCGCTGCCGAGCTTGCCCGCGGCAAAAGTGCAGAGTCGGGAGATGAGAGGTCGACTGGTACATATTTGGGGATGATCTGGATACCTCCGCTGGGACGAGCAACGGTCTCGGTAGCGGTGAGTGCTTTGGCGAGTTCGTGTGCTGCGGCTGAGGATGGGTGGGTCATGCGGATCAGGGCTAAGGCGTGCGGCAGGTCGATCGCGGGGAACTCTGCCGTGAGATCGATGGAGTTTTGCAGGACGACCGGGTCATCGGCTTGTGCGTCTTCGTTGGTCTGTATGTACGGCTCGATGAGCGCAAGGATGGTTGCTGAAACGGATCCACCGTTCTTGTGATAGATTGAGGTGACCGACTGTGCGGATATGTTGGCACGCAACGATATAAAGCCGACATTTTCCTTTGCTGATTGCCATTTGTTGCCTGCTACGACTGCTGGCTCCGAACTGGATCGCGAGTATTCGTCGAGGTTCATGTACTTGGTGCCCTTTTTCTTCCCCTTGCCCTTCCGGCCGCGGGGTGCTGCATCATCTACAGCAAACGAATCGATACCTTTCCTCTCGATCTTCTCTTCGCCTTCAACGCCGTCTAGTTCTTCGAACAGAGCATGATTCAGTAGCTCATCTGTCGCCTTGCTGTAGTCTCCCTTGCACTTTTTCAATACATGTGCGATGGTGAATGGCTTCAATGTCGGAAATGTTTCCATGAGTTGCAACTGTTTAGCATCACCACTGAGATTTTGAAAATATTCGGTGAAATCGTTAGACCCCGTGGGCGACGTCGCGGGTGATGCATTTTCGCCTACGCCGAGAGACGACATGGCAGTAGAAAGACTGGTACATGCTGAAGGAGAGTCGTCGCTGCGCGCTGATAGGTCGCCGCGACCCGAGGGCGACGATGCGGGCTCAAAGGCAGCCTGACCACCGCTGCCCGATGGGTCAAAGTCGGTTTGCTGCTCGAGAACGGCGTTCGCCTTGAGGGGCTCAAGCAGTTGGCGCGTCAGTTCAAGGGCATTTTCCTGGCCAGCATAGTCATGATAGATGGCGTAGACGATGGTGGCGTCCAGAGGCGGACAATAGTCCTTCTGTGGCATAAATCAGCATTCTGAGGGGTGGGAATGTGGATCAGGGCTGTACTTCGAGGATGGTCAGGTGCTCCTGCATTCTGGGGGATAAAGATAAAGAAAGAAAGGAAAAATAGATGGAGAGAATCAAAGGTATTATACAGGGGAGAAGAAATGCCAGAAACAACCAAGCAAGACAATGTCTATGTTAACGCCAACACCCGTCGAACCATGGCTTCCATCGATGACGCGCCGACGGGCCTTTCGGTGAATCGAGGAAAGTGGCCGTTCGTCAACGGAGCATTGTTTCGCCGTGTCGGCTGCCTCCTGACCCTCACTACTGTTCCATTTGGATACGAAACATGGCACGCTTTGCTTTGTGCATTTCTCCATGCTCTCCCGTGGGATACTATAAAAAAAAAGTGGAGTCTAGCTACAGTACTCCCCAATCATGCTGCTCGCTTCTTTTGAAAACCCCTGTTAGGACGCCGTTCCTGAAAATGAATTCCCCAGCTACGCCGACCATATGAACATCAAATCATCCTGCCCTTCCCATTCCCGGGATCCAAAGCCGCACTGCTGAGGGGGGCTGAACGTTCGAGATCGTTTATCCTCCACCCTCGACATGACGACGTGGCTATGCCGCATCCCTGTCGCTTCTCGCACCTTCGTCGTCTTCTTCAACATGGTAGAATCGCCTATACCCGTCGTTAGGTTTGCCGCTACGAACGGGGTTCACTTTTTGAAATACAAGTGTTGTTCGTAGTACGCGAGCATCTGGCGAGTGAGCAGTTAGCGGCGCAGAAACAAACAACCAAAACAAAAGATCTCTTACTTTCTGCGGGCACTTGTGGTTCAACACCGACAGCTGGTGGCGCGACTTGTGCTTATTGTTCCAGACAACGAAGGCATAGCGCTCGGGGTGGCCGGTCTTGGGGTTGGGCTCTTCTTCGATAGTATCAATGTGCTGCACGTGTTCCTCCCAAGAGCCGGCAGGAGGGGTCCATTCCTTCTCCTTGCGAACCACCGCTTTTGTGTCGGGAGTTCCGGACCCCTCACTCTTTGCTTTCTTGCCGCGATGTCCGGAACCCTTGGGCTCGGGTGTGTTAGAGGCGGCTTGGGAAGACTTGCGCTTCTTCTGCTTTGGCTGCGCAGTCGGGCGGCCACCGATCTTGTCAAAGTATTCCTGGAGGGCGTCCTTGGCGCCTTCACTTTGGGTCCGTTAGCATCAGCTTATCCGAGGTATTCAGCGTGTCGTAGGGCCTACAGATTCTCCTCCGGCTCCCAGGTCCTGTCTGCCGCCTTTTCGTAGCCCAACCACTTGACTTCGTAGTTGATAGAGCCCTGTCCATTATCAGCGCGCGGGCCTAGTGACATGGCGCGGGCATTATGCTTACATCCGTGTCGATAATGTGGCTGACGATTCTCTCCACGACATATCTTACGACTCTGGTTGGCTCAATGGGGATCTGGCGCGCGTACGGGCAAGCTTCTTACTCGTCTGCCTCCTCATCGTCGTCCTCTTCCTCTTCAGGATCGGCATCAGCCCGGGCGGTGGGCTTCTCGACCTCCTTGTAGGGGATGTCGGCGTCGGAAGTGGAGGCTTCGTCGTCGCTGACCATAGCTATATTTGCAGTCGCGTCAGTGAGAGTCGGACAGATGGGCGCGCGGACGGGAAGGCTCACGAGGCATTGTCGCGGGACGCTGCGATACGAGCCAGGGGGATTGACGCGGACGCGGGGTAAGAGTGAGGGAGCAAACGCGTTGTTTGGTTGCGGGCGCACCTAGAGAGAGAGAGCGGCGCGCGCGGGCGTCACGTCTTGTCGCCGCGTCGAAATCAGAGGCCCGAGCTTCCTCCGGGTCTTTGGCCCGCGCGCCGGCCGCAAAGACTCCAAACCCGCTTGCTGTCCGCCGCCCGAGTTTTTGTCCCGCAGCAACCCACGCGCCCGCAACACCACCTTCTCTCAGGCTTTGGGTGCGCTCTATCTCTCTCGAGCTCCTCCGTTTACTTCCTGTCATCCCAAAAGCTCCGTCTCGCCGACCGAGCACGCTACGGCAAGATGGCTATGCGTAGGTTCTCCTTATATGCCCCTCCACAAGCTACTGGCTGACGGTAATTGCGCCGCAGAACTCGATATGTCCAACGGTTAGTCTCGCCCATGGGGCATTGGTTCGCAAGCTTCGCCCCCGCTGACACAAAGGTACAGCCCAGGTGATGAAGGATGAGACGGGAAGGCCCTTCATCATCGTCCGGGACCAGGGCAAGAAGAAGAGACAGCACGGCAATGAGGCGGTCAAGTCACACATTCTTGCCGCCAGGACGGTCGCCAACATTGTCAAGACGTCGCTGGGCCCCAGGGGTTTGGACAAGATTCTCATCTCCCCGGACGGCGACATCACGGTCACGAACGACGGCGCCACGATTCTTTCGCAGATGGAGATTACGAACCACGTCGCCAAGCTCCTCGTCGAGCTTTCCAAATCCCAGGATGACGAGATCGGAGACGGCACCACTGGTGTAGTCGTTCTGGCCGGCGCGCTGTTGGAGCAGGCGTCGGACCTGATCGACAAGGGAATCCACCCCATCAGGATAGCGGACGGTTACGATGCGGCTTGCGAGGTCGCCGTGGCTCAGCTGGACAAGATCAGTGACGAGATCCCCTTCACCAAGGAGGAGACGGAGAATCTGTTCAAGGTCGCCAAGACCAGTCTGGGAAGCAAGATCGTCTCCAAGGCCCACGACCAGTTTGCACAGATTGCCGTTGATGCCGTGCTCTCGGTTGCGGACCTGGAGCGGAAAGACGTCGACTTTGAGCTTATCAAGGTCGACGGCAAGGTCGGCGGTGCGCTGGAGGACTCTCTGCTCGTCAAGGGTGTCATTGTGGACAAGGACTTCTCGCATCCTCAGATGCCTTCCGAGGTCCGGGACGCGAAGCTCGCTATTCTCACCTGCGCGTTCGAGCCGCCCAAGCCCAAGACCAAGCACAAGCTGGACATCACGACCGTGGAGGAGTTCAAGCGCCTGCAGCAATACGAGAGCAGCAAGTTCACGGAGATGATTGAGCAGATCAAGGCGACCGGTGCCAACGTCGTCATCTGCCAGTGGGGCTTCGATGACGAGGCCAACCACCTGCTCCTCACCAACAGCCTGCCTGCTGTGAGATGGGTCGGTGGCCCTGAGATCGAGCTCATCGCCATTGCCACCAACGGCAGGATAGTGCCAAGGTTCGAGGACCTGAGCGCTGAGAAGCTTGGTACGGCTGGCGTTGTCAGGGAGATGAGCTTCGGCACGACGAGGGACAAGATGCTCGTCATCGAGGAGTGCGCGAACACCCGGGCCGTCACCGTGTTCGTCAGGGGAAGCAACAAGATGGTATGTGAAAAAGTGGACGCCCGTTTGAGGTGGAGAAGTGCTGACGGAACACGTAGATCATCGACGAGGCCAAGCGGTCACTTCACGATGCCATCTGCGTCGTTCGCAACTTGGTTAAGGACAACCGCATTGTGTACGGCGGTGGCGCGGCCGAGATTGCTTGCTCATTGGCCGTCGAGGAGGCAGCGGTCAAGGTAAGTCCAATTGGCCCGGAGTTGTTGTCTTATCAAGCGGAGGATTTGGCGGCTGACCTTAGGGACAGAGCCCCGGCCTCGAGCAATACGCCATGCGCGCGTTCGCCGACGCGCTCGACGCGGTGCCGATGGCGCTGGCGGAGAATTCTGGTCTCAGCCCGATCGAGACGCTTGCGTCCATCAAGTCGCGGCAGGTGAAGGAGGAGAACTCGCGGTTAGGTGTTGACTGCATGCAAACGGGCACAAACGGTAAGTCGATTTTCGTGCATTCTAGACCTCCTGCGCCATGTTTGGCGCGCTCCCTGTCCGCATTCTGCAGCCACCGTTGCCAGTTGTTATTGCCGCTGCATGTGGCTGCTCATCATACGCGGCGCGCAGCGAGTGTAACACCCGCAGCCTGCACGATAGCGGACAGCCCCATGCTGGCGCTGCAGCGGCTCGTACCTTTCTTTTTGCGCCATCTGCCTCGCGTCCCGTCTCCGCCTCGGATGCCATTCGCCATGTCGCACTGCAAACCGAGAATTGTGGCAAAGAGCTGACCCGGGCGAAAACAGATATGCGCGAGCACTTTGTCATCGACCCCCTGATCTCCAAGCGCCAGCAGCTGTTGCTCGCCACGCAGCTCTGCAGGATGGTCCTCAAGGTATGTCACAGTTCATCTCATCTATCGATCGCCCTCTGCCTCCCCCACCAGTCCCACCCCCATACGTCACCCTTGCAGCCCTCCCGGCGCGGCAGTCCAACGCACACTGCATGGTGCAGCGCGAGGGCGCCGTCCCGACGTTCCCCACAAGCCACAGTCACACAAGAGCCGGGGTTGCTGCTCAACCGACCCTCCATCGGTTGTCACATCTCACCCCCCCACACGCACTCCCTCCCTCCCGCACATCATCAGTCATTGCAGCTGCCTCCACACGTGTCACCCACACCCCGGGCTGCATTGATACGCGCTCCGGGATCCCCGATGCGATCGCACCGGTGCGACCGTTGGCCCAGGATTGTCGACGGGATCTAGCACCCGCGCGCCCATCCCCATCTCCCCGGCCGCGCATCCCATGCCGCATCCTGGCCTCAGGATGCCTATCGCTAGCATTCTGGGCCTCACCGCTTGTCTGTCGAAAACAACCCATGGCTAATACGTGCTCCAATAGGTCAACAACGTCATCATTGCCGGCAGCGACGAGAACGAGTTTTAAGCCGGACCGGCTTCCCCGACTGTAAAAGGAGGGCGCGTGTCCATGCAAGGAGGTGGAGGGGGAGGACAGGAGTAGAGAGAATGTGTGTCAAGAAAAAAAGAAAAACCATTTTCTTCGTAGCTGCGATGTTAATGCCATGCCATGCGATGCATGTGGGACGTTCGCGGAGACGCAGGTGGGAAGCCCCGATGAACACGGCAGATGGAGGGCGGGGGCACGGCGTGGTACGGTACGCGCGGTTTTGCTGCTGCTGTGCACCGCTCTGGCTGCAGCGGCGGGAGGGTTAGGGGTTGCACAGGAAGTACTCCGCATTTTCTGTAGACTCGAAATTTTCAAGATGCCGTGTGGGGAAGAAGAGACGTTGCTCGCCGTCGTTGTAGTTGGTGGTGCTGTGAAGAGCTGCTGGCGGTTGCAGTGACATGTGACAGTGTGGGAAGGTTGTTTGGACGTTCCAATGATTAATTATTTCACGGCGTGCCGTCGTTGTCGTAGAAGACACTGACACACTGGTTACTCGGCGCTGCTGTTACTATTGCTATTACTATTGCTATTGCTGTCATAGTTACTGTTACTATCAATGGTGTTGCTGCTGTTGCAATCTACGTAGTACGTTGTCCCCAGCGAGGAGAATGCAACACCATCGAGCCATTTGCACGTTAGGTGGACCGACCACCGCAACACTCAACACCGACTGATATGATAACCGCACGCACCAATCTGCGTATCTCCAGCTATCTACACCCGGCACTCTCGGTGCCCTTGCGGGTCGGACTCCCTCCCTCCTAGCTCTCGACCAAGTGTGGCTAGGTCCCGGTATCATAGAAGTGGACTTGACTTCTCCACTCGTACGGATCATGTTATGGAGAAAACGATCCAGACCAACAGTAGGCGCCACATACGGGCGTCGGCGAGCTGGAACGTGAATAGAAACGGTCTTTGGGCCTGATCCGGGCCGGTTGGGGGAGCGTGTCATACGCGCTTATGGAAACAGGTTTCGAGAGGGGTTTAGGGGAAGCGGAGGGTTCCTGATCGATGGATGGGAGTTTAGATTGATCGATCACACAGAAGGCCAGGCGCCTTGTGCTCTCCGGTTTATGGAATCCACCGTGCCCACACCAGGAACCACGACCGATGTCAAAGGCATGGCAGTTGGGTGGCCTCTTCTTGCCGCGACGACGACGACGGGCACCAAAACCTACCGTTCCTAACCACCAACTGCGCAGTCCATCCCCATTGTTTGGCATTATTCGCCATGGCTCTACCAATCCTCCCGTGTCGATCTTGTCTCGTCTCAACTCGTACTCGAGGCCGAAGGATGCTGCGCCTCCGATGTTTGGCCGCGTCCTGCGTTGCGCGTTTGCATGCCTGGCTAGGCTATGGCATCTAGGCCGGCTGGCAGCTAGGCCGACCGTCACGCCGTGCCAGTAAACGCTGGCCGTGGACCACGTGTGAAGCCATGAAGCCATGCAAGGAGGCTGCGTGTTCGAGAACGAGGCCAACTCGTACGCTGGTGCGGCGACGGGAAGGGTGCCTGATGGAAGTGTCTACACTATGAGTATTGAGTGGTGGTACCTACAACACCCTCCCCTAAAAGTCAACAGTCGGTCTGCCCGCGATTGGGCCCAGCCCCAAGCCAGCTAAGCCCTAGCCATGTCATAACCTTCTCCCCGTGAGTGGCTGTGCCAACACAAGACACAATTGTCCGAGCGCGGCGAAACTGGAGAAACTCGCTGGAGAAACCCCTCGTGCCTGGACCGACCCGGCCGGTGGCTGATGCGGCGGCGACCAAAGGGCATTGAAAGTCGTTTGCCGCCAGCCTCGGCGTCAAGACACGTGCCGGATGCTTTGCTTTGCTTTGCTTTGCTTTGCTTTGCCTTTGTTTCCCTTGCAATTCCATCGTTAGACAACTTTGCATTAGCTACGTTTAGTCAGCATTGTTTATTACCGAACCCATACGTGACTTTCGTGCTGACTTGCCGCGCGCTTCACCAAACCACCAAACTCAAACTCGCACCGCCATCACCCCGCGCAATCCTCCGCCCCCCGCCGCCCCCAGGAAGCCAACGCAGCAAGCCCGTCGTTGCAACCAAACTCGCGCACGCTGCCGCCGCCTCAGCCACACGACGCGCACGTGCGCGCGGAAAAACCCTCGCGGACGACCGCCGCTTCTCTCCTTCACGTCCGCGCAATGGCCTCCATGAACGATGCCCGCGATATCATGGGCTTGGCCGCCGGCCAGGACCTGCCGAAGCCCCCGCCGCTCAAGAAGCAGAAGTCGGCTCCGGCAAAACGCGTCAGTACGTCGCTGTATCCCATCTAGATGGCTGGGTTGGAAGCTAGCTGACACGCGTCGCCGCAGCTGGCATCAACCGCGAAGTTCAGGCGCTCTACGGCGAGCGCGCCCCGCCGGTAGCCGTCGTCGAGGCGGGCAAGTCGTACCAGCCCAAGCGGAAATGGGGCGCAAACAAGGGCCCGGCTCAGAAATGGTAAACATGGGCGACGGATCGCCGCGCGCTGGGATTGCTGAGCTGACGCTGGCACAGGATACAGAGGCCCTTCACGAACCCGGCGCGCACTGACGGACTCGTTCTGAGGCACTGGCAGCGACTCGACCCCAACAACACACCACCGGCACAACAGGATGGAGACGTCACAATGGAGAACACTGAGAATCAGGACCCTCTTCTGGAAACCGACTACCCGTTTGCCAAATTCAACATCCAGCCCGACGGGCCCGAATACGACGATGAGCTGTACGAGGCGCATCTGCGCAGCGACGAATGGAGTAAGGAGGAGACAGACTACCTGGTTGAGACGGTCAAGGAATACTACCACCGCTGGCCGGTCATTGCGGACCGCTACGACTTCCAGCCAAAGCAACCTTCCGCGGACCCCAACGCGCCGGACGGAGCCGCTGCGCCACCCGCCATTGTCGCCAAGAAGCGCAGCATGGAAGACATGAAGTTTCGGTACTACCAGATCAGCGCCAAGCTGATGGAGCTGAAGACGCCCATCGCGTCCATGACCAACGCCGAGTTCGGCCTGCACGAGATCTTGACCAAGTTCGACCCGGACCGCGAGAAACAGCGTAAGAAGGTAGCGGCGGCCTTGCTCGAGCGCTCGGTCGAGGAAATCGCCGAAGAGCAGTTCCTGCTCGGCGAGCTGCAGCGCATCAACACCAACTACGAGCGGCTGTGCGCCGAGCGCGATGAGGTTCGTGCACGCCTCGGCGCTCCCCAGACGCAGGCCAACACGTCGGCGGCGCAGTTCCAGTCGAGCGCGGCGCTGTCGCAGCTCTTCAACCAGCTGCTGGCGCACGACCGCAGCAAGAAGCGCAACGGACGCCTGTCGCTCAACACGTCGGACAGCATGGGCGGGGGCACGCCGTCCGGGCACCAGACGCCGGTGACGGGCGGCGGGCTCAGCGGCGGCGGGCACCGCGACTCGCTGGGCGGCGGGGGCGCGCCGGGCGGGCACAACAAGCGCGCCAGCCTGGTCGGCCCGTCGGGCCTGGCGGCCCAGCAAGGCCAGCAGCAGAGCATGCCGCCGCGGCAGCTGACGGCGCGCGCGCAGCAGCGCCTCGGCGTCACGCAGCACGAGCGCCTCACGTCGGGCGTCACGTTCCGCAGCGACCGGCTCAACAAGCTGCGCCTGGCCAAGTCGACGATCCAGACGCAAAAGGTCGCGGCCGCCCTCGCCGAGCTGCGCATCCCGGAGATAGTGGCCCTGCCCACCGTCGACGTGTGCGACGCCTTCGAGGGCCTGGTCGGCAAGATTCACAAGCTGCTCGACCTGCGCAAGCTGCTGGAGAAAGAAGAAGCCGAGGTCGCCGTCGCCGAGAACGTGCGCAAGGAGCGCCTGAGGCGCGAGGCCCTGGAGCACGGCGAGGACCCGGATGCCGCCACTGCCGCTGCGGAGGAAGAGGGCGAGGCCGACGCCAACGCCGACAAGGGCGACGTCAATGGCAATGGCGAGGCGGTGGCCGCGAAGGGCAAGGGCAAGGCGGACGCTGAGACGACGAATGGCACTACGGGGGAGGCGGAGCAGGAGGAGCAGGAACAGAACAAGGACGCCGATGTTGATGCCGATGTTGATGCCGACGCGGATGCGGATGCCGACGCCGACGCAGATGCAGATGCAGACGCCGATGCCGATGGCGAGGCCGACACGCCCATGCCGGATGCGCTGCCCTCGACGGAGCGGGACGAGGCAGGGCCGAATGGCGTGGAGCACGATGAGGGTGGAGGAGCAGGCGGGGAGGCGGCATCATCCGCGGCGGGCCAGAAGCGCAGTGCGAGCGAGATGAGCGGGACGAGTGGTGGGAGTAAGCGGAATAGAAAGTAGGTACTTTGTATGTAGTATGGATGTACGTGAGTTAGAGAGTGAGAGTAGGTGGGTGGGTGGGTGTAAGAAGAAGCATAGCTATGGATGATGACTTGTAGAGTTTATGAGGATCATTTTGGTTTTGCGTCATGAGGATGCCTGCATAGCGGTGGTGGTTGTTGACATTGATACCTAACCTAGATGTTGACGCGCATGCAAGCCATCTCCGCGTTTCGCTAGCAGCAACAAAATAATACGTGCCAAGAGAAAACGTAACAAAAGAAGCGAGCGGTTATCGTCCGAAACTATCGCCCAAGACCAGTTTAGCCGCATCCAAACCAAGCCTAGCATCCTTACCACGCTAGCAGGGGCTGGGAGAGAAGTAGGAAAGTCGCGAGCGAGTGCTCGCTCCTCCCTCTCAACAGCCCGCAACGCAACGGTGAGATGCCCACGTATGAAAGGCGGGCGTGCGCCCTACGCCCGTGGCGCCGTGCCCGGCCGTCTCTTGTACTTTCGCGGATCTGTAGCGCCAGTCGCCGTCGCGTTAGCCTTGCCCTGTTCTGTCTGAAGCGGTGCGTGTTCAAAGAGCGGGGCGACATTAATGCTCCTTCTTCATCCATCCGTCCACGCCATCGTACGTTCCCCCGCTGGTCCGCGCGTAGCCGGGGGAGGGGATGGCGTGGTGGCTGGGGTGTGTGTGTGTGTTTTTGTTATTTTTGTTGTTTGGGTCTAGGAAATAGTCATTACGTACCTTTGCGCGACATCTTGGTCTTGTCGCGTGTGCCTGTGGTCCGGAAATAAAGAAGTTAGTGCCGGATGCGGTCATGAGCAGGTCATGTGTGAGGGAGGAGAAAAAATGTAAAAATGGAAGCGACCTAGGGAGAGGGCAGGCAATGGCATGGTAAACAATGGACGACGACGACGACAACAACAACAACAACAACAACAACAACAAAAAACAATGGTGAGGGCGGAAAATCGACAGAGCATATGACAAGCCTCCGGATGCAGGGATCAATGGTTCCGGCGCGGGCTATCGGGGAAGTGGCCGCCAGACCCCAGATTTCGCCAGAGTATATGCAAGAGGGCGAGCCTCAAAGCTAAAACCCGGGGGGGATCATGTGAAGAAAAAGCCTAGACGGGGCCACGAGCCATGGGGCCGCGGGCAGCTCGATCAAAAATCGACACCTTGTGCCAAAGCAGGTCATGTTTTGGAATGGCTGGTTCCCGGCGCCCCGGCTGGCGGTCGGCTGGATGCAGGGGCTCATCGGGTAGCTGCGGGCCGGAAGCGGGTGAGGACAGCAAGCCAATGTGGCCGGCCATGGTTGGAAGAGGGCAACGAGAATCAGACGTACCTTTACCGCCTTCCCAGAAGCCGGAGCCTTTTTTCCCAACGAGCGTCGCGTGGCAGATGGCGCAATCCTCCGGGCGGTAGTTTTGTTCGCGCGAGCCTGAGGGAATAAAAGATAAGTATGACGATGGATGAGATAGAGATGGCTGACTCACAAAATCCACTAGATGGAGAGGGAAAGAGAGACATGGTCAGCACAGATGAGCAAGATGGGAAGGTGCGGGGCACGCGCGAGTCATGTGCGGGGGGGTGACGACCGTGACGTCGGCGTTGTGGGGAAGGCAGATCTGGGGGGCTCCTTCCCTGAACGTGACCACCATCGTACTCACCAGATCATCCGGTTGGCGTGCTCATTGGGATGCTCGGCCTCCTGATCATGGCACCTTTGCGCTCCTACGTCAGTCCATGGCGCAAATGGCGTCGAGCGTTGTGAGATAAGTACCTGTCGCAAGGATACACCTGGCCCCCCCTCCGTGTCAGCCCCACGCCCCCAACAGTCAAATGCAACATGTGCGTACCTTGCTGCAACACGAGAATCTGCGCCCTATCGTCAGCCCCATCACCAACCTCCCAATTGCCGGGTGCGTGCCGCTCACCGGAACCATCGATGGCTCTTTGCGTAGTGCGCGCATCGCCCGCGCTTCGGCAGCTCCTGGCCTGCCACAATGCCCAACTTCTCCTTCGCCTGCCGCCCCGGTCAGCCCAGGAAAAACCCATCGCCGCGCCAGGGTCGCTTGTCCCACCTTCTTCCGGGGTAGCGCGCGGCTCGCTCGAACTGCTCACTCCGTTAGAAATGCACCATGGCTTTAGGCTCACCGGCTCGCATCCCGCCTAGCAACTTGCACCACCTACCCGCAGATGCGCTGACCAGCAGGAATTTCACCTCGGGAATGCGGAATGCTGACGCCCCAGTTAGCCCCGTTTGAGGTAATCATGGCTGCAACACCCACTCATCTTGTGATGGCACTCCCTACACATGGCCATGGACGATTCGCCTCGTACCGACACCACGCCCGGCGCCCCATACTGCGTCGAGCATTCTGAGCAAGTCGGGACGAAGTTGCTAATCACGCCTGTTAGCGCCCTGCTTTTCAATGCCCGTAAGAGCCCTTCAGTGCAAACTGAACCTGGGAAGCATGTCGACTGGCGTGCAGCCGTCCAAGTCGAGGTACCCGGCCCGGATCGAATTCCCGTGCATCAAATCCATACGATAGCCTTTTGCCTGCGTCAGTCGCATGACCCCGAGCCAGATGATAGATGCCGTCATTTACCTATTTCCATGGGGTACGCGCACTTTTTGCACGATTCAGAGCGCACGCCAGTATGGCTTGTGTTAGCACTGTTCTTGATGTTAGTAACATCCATCTGATCCTTGCAACGAGTGCATTTGACGGTGAGGTTGAGGGAGACAAGCTCCATCAGCTCAATGCCATAGAGCTCCAGATGAGGAAATGACATCATGATTCCTCGTTCAGGCCCTGATGTTGGAGCCATTTGGGTGCCCGCGGCGTCGTCTTCACCTCCACTCTTAGCATCCGAGTCATCTGAATACGAGTCGGAGCTGTCTTCATCGTCATCCGTGCCTTGCTGGACCGTCCATTCGGGAGGTCTTGGTATCGTGATGATGTGGCTACGGTCTTCATCTGCAATGTTAGCATCTCTAAGAGGTTGCGACCCGGGCTGGTCTATCTTCAGAACCTCCAAATCAAGTTCAGTCGTGTTTTCTGCTGTGGGGGCCTCTTGCTGCGCTACAGGGGCTGGAACCGTAACTGGTGGTTGCGGAGGCTGAACCGCCATTGAATGCATGTTCTGCGAGAGGTAGTTTACGTGGTTCATCAAGGACATGGCAGGGTTCTCCCGGACCCTAGCCTCGAAAGCCTCTTCCAGGGGACGGGCTGCTTGCCTGTCAATGCCCATCAACTCTGTTCTGCACGGCTCCAGAGGGTAAATTGGGGGCACCAGTAATTTGATCGTCTTAATTGCTTGGAGGGCCACCGGTAAATCTCCTCTGCGCCGGGGTTCTACTGGCACGACGAAAGCATCGTCTGAGAGCTTTGCGAATTGAGGCAGTCTCCCCAAGCGAGCCTCAAATTGGCGAGCCTCCTGCTCTCGTTTGGCCTTGGCCAAGGCCTTTTGCTCGGCACTGTAGACAGGTGCAGCCGGTTTGACCACTGACGGCGTAGGCAAAGCAGCGGGCTTCTGAGTCACGACTGACGGCGGCGAAGGCTTTGGTGCATTGGGGACAATGGAGATTTTGATGGTCTCAGCTTTCTCCGCGGTCAAAATGGTCTCCAATTGACGATCGAGCTCTTTGAGCATGCCCAGCAGCGTCTGTTTCGGGTTGGATGCAAGGGCCTCGAAGCCCTTTTCGACGTTGATTTGGTAGCCCCTATCCATAACCTTGTTTGTGACACTCAAGGATGGACGTGCCCCGGATGGATAATTGAGCGGAACGCGAAGGATGCAGCCCAATGCGTCGATATCAAAAGGAAAGTCGGGATCAGAGGGCTTCATGTCAAATGTCAAGACGGTGCAGTCTGCCTCTTGGGTTTCATTCGGGGAAAATCTGCGCCTGAGCTGCGCGATCTGAAACTCGCGCGGATCCTCGACCTGCGCACGTGGGGTGGGACGCTGCACCACCTTGGAGGGATCGACCGGGGCGGCAGGCTGGTGTCGCATCTGAAGCGGGGGATTGCTGTTTGATGAGCGGTCGTCGGCAGGAGTCCCTTGCGGCGGCTTTGGACCCTTTTGCTTTGAGCGGGAAGGGTCGTGGGAGAATTGACAGGCATTGCCGGCCCGACAACCTAGAAAAGGTGCAGAGATATCAGCTCCGGAGTCTGGTGATCAGAAGAGACTTGACACGACCCCACGTCTCGCTTGGGCGTGGGGGCGCGAAGGCACAATAAGCAATCAGCCATTACCGGACTTGGAGGCGAAGAAGCGGCAGGCGGGCATGCTCCTGTGAGGCTGAAGGGATGCCAGCTCAGAAGGGCCGTCGGGTCCTGAGATGTGAGCAGATGACCCGGGTGCAGGCGATGCGCTGTCAACGTACCAGGGGCCGGGCGGAAGGTGGACGGGAGCTCCGCGGTCATGGTGATAGGGCGAGGAATTGCGGAGGGAGGCGATCCGGGTCAGGCGCGAGCGCGCGCCCGTCTTGTAGTTAGGATTGCCTCTTCTTGTGACTCAAGATGAATAGTGAATGAGAAGGGTATGACGCAAGGGCAGGCAAAGTCACGGCGGGCATCTTTGCACTCACGCTCTCTCTCCTGTGGCCTGCATACGCGTTGGGGGACCCGGCGCGCGAGCGAGAACGACCGGTGGAGCCCGGCCTGTTTCCCTAGCGCCGATGCCGCGGGCGCAGGCGGCTGCCGCCGGCCCTCCAGCGCCCTCGACTCACCCACTCACCGCACCGTTGCCGCCCGACTCGAGTTTCAAGAAATGTCCACTTTTCCCGCTAAACTGATTACCATCTACATGCCGTGAGGTAATGTAGCCCTCTGCCTCGCGGTGGAGTCGCCAATGCAACCGCACCCCACCGCTCCCTACAAGTACACATTGAATACTGTTACAGGGCCTGGACGGCTCACATGTGAAACCAATGCAACCGGGCCTGAGCCTGTGTCCCCTCTGAGAGCCGCCGCCGTCCAGTGCTTGGATAAAAAGGAAGGAAGATTTCGTAGCATCGTTCGTGCTGCTGCTGCTTCAACAAAGTGCAAAGATGGTATCCCGGAAATTTTCAGCAGAAGACAGAAAAAGAGAAAAAGAAAGCAAAAAAAGCAAGTAGTAGTAGTAGTAGTGCCCGTCCCGCCCCGCCGTCATGTCAAGCAACGCCGTGTCGAAAAAAAGAATCAAAATCAGATCAGAAAAAGAGCATTAACAGAAAAAGCAATGTGCCCGGAACACCGCCTCGCTATGTTCGCATGAAATGCAATCAATGGATGCCGTTGACCCCCCCATCTAAATGCGGGGGCGGGGGAGGAGCGTATTCGTCTCGGAGGACGGCCGACGCCGCTTACCAACCCCTCTCGTGATATTCCTGAAGTCCACTGTCGAAGTAGTTTGCTCCATTCGTGGTCCAGGAGTTGTTGCCCTTGGCGGCCGATTCCTTGACGACTGCAAGAGGCGCCGGTTGAGGCTCGCCAGGGTAGTGCTTAAGGTTCTTCACGTCGGTTGAAGTATGCCTCCTCTTGAGTACTGCATTGTTGGTCGAGTTCTTCTGCTGGCGTTCCCAGAGGAGATGCTTGCGAAGAGATTCCGTCAACTCTGTCGTAAGCATGTTCCGCCTAGTAGTCCGAGGAGAAAGTGCAGGAGGAGCGTGAGTGTTGGAGGTAGTCATGATGATAGGCTTGGACCGAGGAATTTGGCTTTCCTGCGGTTGCTGCGACTGCTGCTGCGCCTGTTGTTGTTGTTGCTGTTGCTGTTGCTGTTGCTGTTGTTGTTGTTGTTGTTGTTGTTGTTGTTGTTGTTGTTGTTGTTGTTGCTGCTGCTGCTGCTGCTGAGACTGCAGCTGCTGCCGTTGCGACGACTGCTTTGATGGCTCGTAGCGCAACGTGTGGGGTTCGGGGGTAGCGCCCATCGGGCCGTTCAGTGTGGAGGTCCTTGACCGGCGCATCGCTGGCGTGGACTGAGAAGCTGCGTTTTGCAGAGCTTGGGCGCGGTCACCCTCGTGCATCAGGGAGGTGAGGAGCGAGCGGCGGGAGGTGAGGTTTGGTTTCGAGTCGACTCTCTGGAATGACACCTTGTCATTGACGCTGGAGGGTCCACTTTCATCCTCGGAATCCTCCCACTGGTCATCGTCATCCTCCTCAATTGCACTCTCCGAAACTTCTTCCTCACTGTCGCTCTCGAAGACGCCTTCGCTCTCATATGCTTTGGGATCATTGATCATGCGGGTCTGGATCTCGTCCTTGAATGACGTTTGCTTCCGGCCCATGTAGGGCCTCTTCAAACCGGCAGACAACGAGCTGCGCAGAGTGTTCATTTGCATATGAGTCTCGAGGGAACTCTGGCCATCCTCGTCGGACGATCCGCCAAGAGTGAACATTGCACCCTTCTTCTTAGGCTCAGGCCTGAAATGCGACTGCTGCTGCTTTAGAATGGGAGTGGGAACAGCCGCCGCTTGTTGAGCGTCTTGCTGCAGGTTGGTTCTAGACCTATACGAGGACGAGATGCGGCCGGGTGAAAAGCCGCGGACGACGCTGTGAGTGCTGTTCTCGGTGGAGGTGCTCGTGTCGGATTCAATGACTTGGCTTTGTTTCGACGAGTCACTGTCGAGAGCCGTGGCGACGGTCGAGGTCGATGACTGGGCAGCCACGGTAGCCGGCGCGGGAGCCTTTTGGGGAGTCGTGTCATGTTCGTCCGCAATGTTTTCGCACAGATCGCTGGCCTGGACAGGTGGGGGCATGGGCAATGGTTGCAAAGGCTCCAGCTCTTTCTTCTGTTTTATGGAAATGACTAGGCTCTCGAGGTCGACGGAAGTGAGGTGCTTCTCGTTACCTCTGCTGCGGCTGTCGGTGGAGTCTTGCCTGCGAATTTCCGGGCGTGAAAATGACGGGGTGTCGAGAGTTGCGCAGTCGGCACGCTCGTCCGAAGAGTCGTCCGAGTCGACACTCGACGACAGAGCGGGCATGGACAGAGACTCGGACTCAGAGCTGTTGCGCGTGAAAGTCCAGCGAGGGGCGGCAAACAAGGGCTTGTTGTGGTCGGGAGCGCAGCAGAACGTCTCGCGGTTCCACAGGCGCCAGCTCAAGTTTTCCAGGCGCTTGCCATCTTCCATGGTGTCGGAGCACTTGGAGAAAACTAGAAGCAGGTCCCGGTCAGCGGGACATAGCGCGGGGTGAGCGGAAGCGGCTTACTGGACCAAAGGCCAAACAATTGCTCGGCGGAGCGCGTGTCGACGGTGTGAATGGCGGCGGACTCGACCTGGAGTATGGGGACCTCTGGTTTAAAAGGCATGGTGGGCCGGTACCGAGGGGAGGTGGAGGAAGGTAGAGTAGTAGGTGTGGGTAGGTAGGAAGCAGTAGTGCAAGAGGGCTGTTTCCGGTGTTGACGATTGCGTCAAGATCGGCGGACCCGAAAACCGCGGCGCTGGCGATGGAGTGCAGGCGTTCGGCTGGGGCTCATAAGTAGAGCAGCAGCATGCCCGGACAGCGTGGCAGGTGTGGTGAGACAGACGGGGAAAAGGTGGTGTGGTAGAGATGGTTGAGGGAGGGTGGAGGGCTTTGACGAGTGGCGGCCTTGCAGCAAGCAGGCAGGTGTGGTGGAGCGGGCGGAATGGGGAAGGAGCTGGGGGACTTGGGATCATAAGCAAGAGCGTGGGCGAGACAGTGCTTTTGTCTGTCTCGCTCGACTTGCTGCGCGGTGGGACGGGGCGTTTGCACTTCGGCAGCACAGGGCACGGGCAGGGGCAGGGGCCCGGCGGGCAAGGGCCTTTGGAGGCAGGCGCGGGCGGGCGTGGACAGGCGTGGGCAGGGGGGGCCGGGGGGAGGGCAGGCGCGGGCAGTGAAAGAGAGTGAGAATGAAAGCAGCAATCATCTTTTTCCAGAAGGCGCGGCGAAGCGTAGCAACGGCCGGTCTTTCTCCGGCCCGCCCACGGTCGAGACGCGAAAATTTGCGCCGCCCCTGTGGCTGGTCCATCACATGCCCCGCCGCGCGCAGCCTTTGGGAAGGTGCGACCAACTGTTTGCAGATGACCCGGACCCCGGTGCCACCGCAGCCATCCGCTGCCTGCTGACCCCCCAGCCGCACCGGTCAAGCCCATATCCCGCCCCATCCAGCTAATACCAGCCTAACCACTCACGTGCTTCCCTCACTCATCATCAATCGTCCCTCCGTCCCTCCCTCCTCGTGATCGCCCACGTGCTATGCCAGCCGCTCCCGTCCGCTCGTGGCCGTGATTGACAGCGTGTTCCGTGTCGTGACACTTGACGATAGCCCATGGGCATGTCATCTCCCCGGATTGCTGTCCCCAGCTTTGATTTCCCCAGACCGCGCCCTCCACGTCGCATCCATGTCTCGGCCACGCTCCTTTGCAGTCGCACCTGAGCAAGGAGCTTGCTGTCGTGTGCTGCTTGCCAGCTACCTACTTCCAAGTCGTGCAACGGCCTGCGCTGCGAGGCGGTGAAATCTGAGCCTACCACCACGGCATGTGACGGGCACGAACTCCTGAGACACTCGTTCATGCCTTCGTTCTGCCCGCCAGGTAAACACTCCTCTTAGCATGGCCGCCGTTATTGATGGGCCCCGACGACGATCAAACCCGATGAACGATAACCACGCAACGCTCGCGTAGAAACGGTCCTCTCGCCCTCATGCCATCTGTCCGACGGCTGCCATGATGAGCAGGGTGCGAGATCAAAAACAGCACATTCCGCAATACAACGTTGCGTGCTTCCTTCCCCTAGAATTGCGTCTCACGACTCACGATTCAGGCCGAGCGGAGGGAGTGTGTGTGTGTGAGAGAGAGAGTCTTGTGTTGGAAACGTATTGCCGGACTGACTGTTTGCAACTTCGCTGCAAAAAAAACCACCACCAACCAGTATCCGGTACGACGGGAGCGCCACTGGCCCGAGGACCCGGTAATGGCTGGGCTGGCTAAGCCGCACTGGGTTCGGGACAAGACGGGCTTGCCGCCTTCGCAGTGTCGCGTGGATTCGTCTCCCTGACACCTTCCCCTCCGCACCGACTCCTGTGCTTTACCCGACCATTCAGCCTGCCTTCGCCGACGTGTCCCGGAAACACACCGTCACTACTTTCCGCGCAATGACTCGGTCGGTCCTGTATGCAGTACCTATATGCTCCCGCCTTGCGTCGAGAGTCTCACTGTCTGCGGCAGAATCCACCAAAAGTCCGTACACATGGCCTGCCTAATTGACTTTCCCAGACCCCAGAAACTATTCTTCTTCGCGTCTTCCTCTGCGTCACTCGTGCACCCAATGGCGCCAAAGCAGTCGGACGCGTTGTGTTTCAGCGGACCAGCCGAAACGCATCCGACTCCATGGGCTGCGCGCAGGCAGATACGAGGGTAGTGCGATCCATCATCATTATGCGGCCTCAGCTCTGTTCAGCTTCGCGAGCGTAAACTTTCGCTGCCCTGTCCATCAGTAGCCGGACTTTCGCCCAAAAGCAATTCTACGGCACCTAGTTTGGGCTCATGGCCAACAAGCCGGACGCGGTACTAGACACAGTAGTGCCGCGGGAAAGCCTTCCGTCGGAAGTCAACTACGGTAGTTCCGCTGTTGACATACATAGGACCCCACGTTTGAGACGTGGATTGGCGAGGTGGTGCGGCACACCGCATCCTGGAGGTCATCTGCCTCCAGCATCCTCTTGCGTACTCGCGGCATCCAACACCCAAGTACTCGGTTACCAAGGATACAGGATGCTCAGATGCGTGGAACATCGGAGATTGGGACGCACTGGAAGGAATGAATATCTTCAATCTCCGCACAGGGTGCACCAGCCAGCGTACCATTCGCACGGACTCGGGCTTGTACCTGGGGAGCCCTACCATGCCTCTCGCACCCTTCCGAGGTACGTGCTAGAATCTATCGAAGACTTTACAGGAACATCGTGCAAGGAACTGTTTAGCACGGACTGCCTATGGGAGTCTCGACTGCTATCGTAGTCAAAGGGCAAAAGCAACACCAGTACGTCAATGCCGTACTCGACATGCAGACCTTCCCACCACGTACCACTTTTTGTTTTATTTTACTGACTTGACACCCGTTGTATGCCTATTCCGTCGTCTGTCAAATGTCACTTTCCTTTTGGCTATTTATCTCCTTTGCCAGCATTCGTCTGCTGCGACGGCGACTTATCACCGCACTTTCCCCGTATCACTCTTCCCCACATCGAATAACATCAGCGTGCATGCCCTGAGCGCCCACGTGCTTCATTACACGCCGACCCATACGCTCGGGTTCCCCGAGGACAGCTTACCTGTTTCAGATGCCGTTGCGTTGTTCCTTCGCGTTGGAGGCTACTTGCCTCTGTACCATATCTGCGTGGATGGCAGAAAGCCGGTCGGTACCATTATAAGCCCATGGATTCTCACCTTTAGCTCTTGCAACCAATACCAGCATGCATACTTGGGGAACTTCATCTTGCGACCAAAGAGATCCGAGCGGACCCGGTGGTAGTTTCTTCGAAATCTATTCGACTCAATAAAAATTGCCGACTATCAGAGGACGTTTGTCGCTCACTACGGAAATTCTAGTTGCCGTGATGATTCACGATGCAGTGCACTGACACTCCTGCAACCATGGTTGACGGGCCATTCTTCTCTGCAACGAAGTCGAAGACGGCATGCATGACGCCTCGAGCGCCAGCCGCCGCATTCATTTCACCGTACGTCTGTCTTGACTTCAGCTGCGGGACCGCTCTGCCGGGTCATAAGATATCCAGTCGACCTTGTCTATATATTGAGTGTACCACACTCCTGATTGCCACCTCAATGCTCACGCGGACGACCATTCTGATGCTTGGTGGTACAGCGTTCAGCTACGTACCGACATCCCCCAGACACTTGTCCTCCGCCCACGCTGCATCCTTACGGAAATAGTAACAGCTCAATGTATCCTGCGATACCCCGGCTCGGCAATTCACTGCCTAGCGGATAGTATGATATCGGCCTTGGCGGAGAGACGAACGTGTCATGGACGACCCAAATCCGTGGGATACTACCACTGGTGGGAGTCATAGGACCGGTACAGCCTCATCAATTCCTCAGCTCACTTTCTCACATGCCCAACTATCCGACAGGCAACGTTGTCATCAATGATTGCCCGCCCGAAGGCCGAGTCCCGCCCGGCTCGCACCATCTGTCAGCAGCACTCGGCGTCGCACGAGTGGGGGGCGCACCAATCACACGGTCAGCCGCTGGTCGCCTCACCACTTCACATCAGCCCCTCCCTCCACCCCGTCAGCTGCCAGGCGCAAGCCCTAAATCTCACCGGGCGCGGAACGGCGCGCGATCTGTTATGCGCGCCATCCTTGCAACGGCTGTCAACGTTATAACCTCCAGGCTCACCCCTTGACAAATCCCCCGACGATCTGCGATTCGTAAGGTTTTGTCAGGCGTGGGCTAAGCGCGTGACATCAGCTTCCTCGGACGCTCGTATCAGCCCTCTGCGGGGGAGCGTGGAGTGTCAGCTTCTGACAGTGCGGGGAGGAGGCCTTGTGGGGGCGCGCAGTGGAGATGATCCTGAGACAGGGTCCATGTGGAGGCGGTGTTGGGTTCTCGGGAGGCGAGGAGGAGGCGTGGCAGGGGCTGGTGGGCTCGGTGGGTGGTGATCAACAGGGACATTATGTGGACTGACTGCTGCTGCCCATGTGCTGAGGAGAGCTGGCCTGGACCTTCATTTCAGCACGACTCCGGGGGCATGTGCAAAGGTACGTTGGTTGTAAAGTGGTCAGACTGCGTATCATTGTATCATTTCCCTGCAGCCAATTTCCCTTCTGGAGCCTCGCGCGCACTCCATTCCTCACAGCACATGCTATTTATGAACAGCGTCTGTCAGTCGTCCACTCCTCGTAATTTCCAGCCGCGGTTTTCATCCATCATGTGCTGTGCAGTTGCGCATACTTTCTACTTCTGGTCCTCAGCTCTGTGCGGGCAATGCGATGAAGTGAGATGCTCCAAACCTCGGTGCCCGTCAGCGCTATAAGACTCATATTGACGCGTGACGATAGGTGGTAACAGGAGAGTGGTGTTGCAGACGGTTTGCTTGTGGTCTGCCTGACGATGATGACTGCGCCCCTTCTCCGTGGCTAAAAGGGGGTATAAGCTTCTGCTTGGCGTTAACGTAGGGTCAGCTCCTTCGGCACAGCTAAGCAGGTGCAAGGTCCCGTTACGGATGGTAAGCCTGTGGGTGCAAGTTGTACACCTGGCATTGTACAACGCTTGGTCGAACTTGGGTGGCAAACCGCGAATATACTCATGTCCGAATGACCTAATACGGACTCGGGAAATTCTACTGGCCAAATTCAACACGCATGTGGAGCCGATGATGGCGCGGACTTTGGTGGTGGCCGACGTACGACTCTACCACTTTGTAACTGCTTTTTCCGGAACACCATGTCCGGAGTCTGCCTGTTTCTGGATACCCCTCTTGCTGTACATCATCGCTTGCAATTCGGAAGATTCATTTTACAACACTTTGGCGAAAGAGACCAAAGCCAAGGATGAGTTATCTTTCGTTCGAAGGGCCACCGTTGTTTAATTTGACAAAATCTCTACTCGCAAAGACTTAATTAACGCCAAACTCCACCCTCTCGAAAGACCATTATACCGATCCAGCACTAGTCAAATGAACGTACAAGCTTTCGCTGCAGACAGACCACAGCATACCCACAGCCAATTCGTTTCCAAAACCGCGCCGCTCACTCACTCACCAATACCATAGAACCGCAGGGCATCAAACCCAGCCAAAAGCTCCATGGGCAGAGCGTAAAGGCCAGCCAAGGCCGCACACCCACGTACACATGTCGTCCCCATAAAGACCGGCGGGCACTACTTGGCGGGCGCGCCCGCCGCCCGCGCACCCACGGTTGGGCACACCAGCCACGCCGCACGCCAACCGCCCAGCCTCCCCGCGCGAAAAAGCGCGTGGCAGGGCCCCTCACGGCATGCCCCCCAGCGCAGCGTTCAAAACCAGGGCGCTTGCCCGCTTTGTTGGGTACCGAATTCCAGACCTTTTCACTCTCGCTGCTGCGATCTACGTTCCGTTGCTTGGTCCTGCCCGTCGTCGCCGCCGTCGCCCTGCCACTCAGCCCCCACCAAGCCATTCATCATTCTTCATCAATTGCCGTGTGCTTCGTTGCGCGCTTGTTGTGGAGATAGCCATCCATCATCCCTCAGATGTAAGCGACTCGTCGTGCGCGCGGTTGCGGTGCGCGGTGCACTCTGAAGTGCCCATTTGCTGATCTCCCCCATAGACGCCCTGACTGCCCACGCGTCTTTGCTTCGCGCGCGCCCGCATCTCGCTACCCACCTACCCGGCGCGCGCTTCTTGTTTGAGCCCAACAAACGTGTTGACTGTATTGCCATTTCTACCGCTTGCTTCAACAATTGCGAAAAAGAAAAGGATTGAAAAAGAGAGAAAGACTATTTATTCTGTTCAATTTTTCTCCATCGTCGCCATATCTCGCCATCTACGCACCACCTCCACCAACCAGGCTCTGCCAGCATCCACCCACCTAGCCTCCTCGTCAGTTGATCGCAACCCGCAACCATGAAGCGCAACATCGTCATCTTCCTGATCATCCTCATCCTCTTCATCCTCATCGCCCTCATCGCCTACGGCATCTGGTTCCTGCAAAATCGCATGAACTACTCGCGCGGCGGCGTCACCGAAAGCGAGATGTCCGAGGAGCACCACGTGTGAGGATTAGGGAGATTCTCGTTGCGGCTGCGGCGACGAAGGGAAACATCATTTTTTGAACTTTACGCATATACGACTTCTCGACCTGGGCGAGTAATGATCTGGATAATACCTACGGAAGAACAGGGCGTTTTGGGACTTGATCAGCGAGTTGGACCGGGGAACCACGGATAAGGCGTTTTGCATGGCAACGCATTGCATGCTTGGTGTTGGATACGATACCGTACATTGTCGACTGTGATAGTTGGTTGACATGAATATGAAAGATTTCTTGCTGTGTCCACAACATGACCAGGTGCTATTTTCATTTGCTTTCAGCGATCAGACGTCCAAACTAAGGCACCGGTATGAACAGAACAAAAGCAGCTGTTTTGCAAAACTAACAAACGGCCACAACCTAGGTATCTCTACTCCGATGCTCGCCTCACAAACTTCAAACCCCCGCTCAACTATGCATTAAGCCCTATACTTTACTCTCGCCGTCATTCTTGAACTTCAGACTGATGCTGTTGACGCAATGCCTCTCGTCCGTCGGCGTCGGGTAGCCCTCGCCCTTGAAGATGTGCCCCAAATGGCCGCCGCAGTTACTGCAAACGATCTCCGTGCGCTCCATGCCGAAGCTGTTGTCCGTGTGGCGAACAACGGCGCCAGGCACCGTGTCGAAGAATGCCGGCCAGCCGCAGCCGGACTTGAACTTTTGCTGCGCAGTGTAGAGTGGGGCGTCGCAGCCGGCGCAATTGTATGTGCCGCTCGAGGGCATGTGCTTGTCGTATTCTCCGGCGTATGGCGCCTCGGTGCCTTGCTTGCGGAGGACGCGGAATTGCTCTGCAATGGCGGGGTTAGTACATACAGTCTTTTAAGGACGAAAATAGAGCGTACCAGGAGACAGGACGGCCTGCCATTCATCGTCGGTCTTCTGGACGGGGTAGGACATGTTGTTTCTGGTAGAAGTGCCGAATAGAGAGCCCAGGAAGGGAATGGTTGGTATAGAACGGAGGGTTGGCTGGCGGAGAGAGGTGGTGGGAAGGCGGCGAGTGGTGGCGTTGCCGAAGAGGTAGAAGGTGCGGACGATGGTAGGGAAGGAGGGAAAGCGCATGAGGTTGTGAGTGAGGAGTCGAAGAGTATAGAGTCAGAATGTCCAAAGGCCAAAGGAGTGGAGGAAGTGGCGACCGCAATGTCAAAGATGTCATACCCCAAACGGCCCAAGCTTCTTCCCCCATCGGGCGAGGGCACGTGACGCACACCTGCCTTACTCTTCGTCGTCCGTGTCGTCGCCGGGCAACACAATCTCATGCCCCGTCCCCTCCCTCACAAATGCCCCCGCAACAACGCCCAAGACTGCTATGCACGCCAATCCCCACCATGCTAGACCAACAACTCCCAACCTCAGTCCCACTCCGAATGCCCAACCACCGACCATCGGCCCAATCGTGCGGGCCCCGCTGCTAACAGACTGGCCGAGGCCGTGGACTGTGCCCAGCACGCTGGGATGTGGGCAGCAATTGTTGACCAAAATCGTCGACGCTGGCAGCGCAAACGTGCGCCCCAACACCACGACGAACAGCACGCCCGCAACCCCCATCCACACCAGCGGCCCGGCCACCGGCCCTGGCGCCGGCCTAGTCGACGGTATAACGGCCAAAAACGGCATTATGGCGTAAGCGACGGGGAAGAGGGACAGTGCCATCCGGTACGATCGTGCTGTTCCCAGCTTCGTGCTCAGCCATGGGTACAGAAACAGCTGAAGTATAATTCCTATGGCCCCCAGAATCGCCAAAGCAATCCCGATCCGTGCTGGCGGTAGACCAAGCCCACCAGTGAACTTGATGGGAAGTTTCTGCGCGGCATGCTCTGGTGGACTGGGGTGTTCTGGGTCAAATCGCGGCGTTGAGAGGAAGACAAACCAGAGGCTGTTGAGGGTCCCAATATGCATTGACATGAGACCGTGGGCCAGGAATGTCAGCAATAGGTTGCGTGTCCATATAAGTCGTAGCGGAAGCTTCTGTCGCCCCGCCGTCTTAGTGGGCTTATCCGCAAAGGTCGAATTTACCGGTGTCATCTGCATCTCAATTTCGGTTGACGAAATATCGGCATCGTCCTCTCGGAGGGCAACATACTCCTGGTGGGGTCTCATCTGGAATATCGTCTTATTTATCCAACGACCGACCTTCAAGCCGTAATCCGACCTGTCTTGTAAAGCATCTAGTGTCTACCATGGATCAGTTACCGCAATGACGAATGGACATCAGGGGTACGTCTCTCTTACTTCTTCCAAGCCAAAGATGATGGCGAGCGAGGAGCAGATTAAAAAACCCGCATTGATGAGGTTTGGTAAAGCATATGGCCACTTTACCATCCAGGCAACACCACCTTTGCCACCAAGCAACGACTCTTCCCCAAAAAGGTTTGGATAGCTCTTAACAGGGTCAGCCAATAGGCCACCTAGTATGGGGCCAATGATGACTCCGATATTGAACATCATTGGCAAAAGCAGAAAGGCTCTTGATTGGAACTTTTTCTCCTTGATGATTTCAGAAATCAAAGTCCTCATGACTCCCACGTTACCGTTCAACACTCCGCCCAGGCATCTAAAGGTTATCGCTGTGGCAAAACTCCTGGAGAAACCGAACCCGATAACAGAAATGGTCGTGCCCAGCAGGCCAATGAGTACGACCCTTTTCCGGCCAACCCATTCGGAATCGGCCGCTCGGCCCCAGAGCATTGCTGTCACGAATTGCGTAGCAGTGAACGCGCCTTGAAGCGTTCCTGCTTGGAAGGAGATTACGGAGTCCGAAAGTGTGGGATCGAAAGACCTCAGTTGATAGAACATGTATGCCTGGAGTGACGTCTGCGTTAGAGGCTCCGACAATCGCGCAAGGGCCAGAATGATCAACTGGTCTTTCCGGGGAAGCGACATCCATGTCACCCGTTCCTTTCGTGCTTCCGTAGTCAGCTCACTAGCTCTAGCAGCAGTTTGCGAAACATATGCGTCTGCAATCGTGTTGATGCTTGGAGGGATGCTGTTGCCACTCTGCTCTGCCTGGTTGGGTTCGGGTTCGGCGCACTGTTGCGCCTTGGACAATGGACTTGAGGCTAGGTCTGGCCTATGAGACGAGTGACCAGACGTGCGTGCCGCATCATAATTTGGATCCGGGAAGCTGCTATCACTGGAGTTTCCGTGGGTGTTCAGGCGCTGATAAGCGGCACCTGAAGTGGTTTCGGAAGTCATCAATGGGACTGAGGATAAGCGATTGGTATAAGGTATGGAGTATTGGAGGGTTAAAAATGGCCTCTACACGACACAGAGTTGGAAGAGGCGACAAGTGATGTCTGTCGCTTCATAGCGGTTATCGTACGCGTACTAGGCTAAAGCGGCTGACTAGAAGCTTTCCCGAGCCGCCATCATTGATCTGCATGGACATGCGCCACAATCTCTTACAGGAAAGCGCGACGTAGTTTGGTTCCCACGTTCCTTTGGGACATCTCTTAAAATCCCGCTATATACGTGCTGTTTAGTCGTGTCCGCTCCTATCAACAAACGGGCCTTGTTGCAAGATAGCCCTTGCTCTTCCTCAAATTCCTGTCTAAATTCGGTCTTGGGATGGTCATGCCGCTCCTTTATGCTGCACTATTTTCTTTCGTAAGCTTTTTATGCATTATTACTCTTTCGACTGCTACCTAGTATCCACCCTCGGAGCAGGTTAATGAAATTCGCTCCTATGGATTACCATGGAAGGTGTTTGTTCATTCCGAAAGACAACAGACGCTGTATAGCCAGACTCCAAACTTCTTGAGGTACCGAAGACTCGTAATAGCTATCTCGTTGGACAGCAAATTCCCATTTGACGGTGACGGACAAGATCTCCCTCTGGTCCAGCTTTCTCCTCCATCCGAAATATTAATGGAAGCTTCTTTGGCCCAGGTGCTCCCTTCGAGAAGCTGTCGACAACATTGTCAATCCCGAAGTTTACGTGTTCTCTTGCATGAAAGGGTTGACTGAAGTGGATGCAGTAAACGGAATCAGTGAAACCTCCCCTCGACTGGTGACAGATTACTCCTCCGACTTGAAGTGTTGACCGGTGTGCATACCAGGCGCATCGTATTGGCCGCCCAGATGTTGTGTCGTCCATGGATCCTCTGTGAATGCTTCTGAAACTTGGACTTCGAACTCCGAGGATACAGATTCCTGGTCATTTTGGTATCCGCGTGCATCAGTTTGGTCCACATCATAACCATTCCCGGACTTGATATCGCCGCTAGATGCATTGGGAGGGAAAGTCGAATAGCCAGGTGCTTTAAGGGCAAGAACAGCTTCTAGAGTTTTTTTGACCCTAGTAAAGAGCCGTTGAAAGACCTGACTTGCAAGATTTATCAAATTGAATGCAGCAATCGCCCTTATAATGAGGACGATATACTGCATAACTTGCATAGGACCTTCCTCCCCGTAGACCGTGTCGTATTCGTGGGACCTAACGCGAAGATCCATCAAAAAGCCCATGAGATGTTGCCTGATAAGGTCCAAGAACACCCAAATGGATTTTGCCATGTTGTGGGATTCCAAAGTAAACGGGGAATCCGAGGACCATGGCATAGCTGGGTGTTCGGTGATGGCTCTGACTGGTCCAGAATTGCTGATATGGTGGCCGAGATTGGTAAGTTGCTGGACCATAACTTCGTAAAGTAGGGTGAGACTAGGGCCGATGATCTTGACGCTGAAAAGGTAGACGAAATGATAGGCGAAAAGGTAAAGGAACATTGCCGTATCAGATAAGGCAAGTGCCGTGATTAGGGAGAATAGTACCATGGACGAAAGCTAAAGGAGAGAGATAAATCAGCAATCGAGACCTGGGCCGAATAGGTATAGACTTACAAGATACCAAGCAGTATCCCAACCATCCTCAGTGACGTCTCTAGTGGGACAACCAAGGAAAAGCTGAAAGCCAAGCAGCAATGCCACGATGGCGACCACACAACCGTCGTCAAGTGAAGCCATAGTTGGCTATACTTCCAACTCAGGCGGGCATGAGTGGTGACTAGATGGCCGGAGGTGGTGGGAGAAGAATAAAAAAGAAAGAACGGGACACGCTTCGGCCCTTATATCATGTGCCTACTGACTTAACACAAGGTGATGTGAAACTGACGTCAGGAGTCAAGGCGCATGTTAATGAAAGGGCACCGGATAATTTACCCATCCCCTCTAGATATTTTGCCCGCCCCAAGTGATAGCATCTACAGAATTATATAACGTGTTTTCTACTCTTTAAAATTTTTGGTCTCTATACCCTTATAAGTACCTTCATACCCTTCGATTATTTTATTTTTATATCCTCGTGGATACTCTAGTAGTCGTATATCTATATCCTTAAAGAATACTTTAGAACTCGTATTTTTTACCGTTATATCTTTTTAAGTACTATACCTTATATCTCTTTACTTTTATATATTTATATAGTGCCTACTGGTTGTAGCATTATAGTCTTGTTATAACTACCTAAGGAGTACTCTGTAAGTATCGTAAATTTTAGTTTTTGCCCAATATGTAGTCAAGGGGTGGATAAAGTATCTAGAAGGGGTGGGCAAATTATCCGGGGCGTAATGAAAGGGTGTTGGCCCAAGCCTTGGCGGCATGTGGCTTTTGGTAACACATACAAACAAAGACTCAGCTTCATAATTTGCTGCATCAGGCACAACCCTTTTGTGTGTCGGTATGAATTATCTGCCATTGTTCAGCCTGAGCACATGATTTCTCGTTATCTCATCCGTTGACATCTTTTTAAAGCACCGACGGAAAGGCGTCCAACCGACATGGCTTTGGTGTGTCGTGTGGGTGAAGCCCTAGGCCTGCCTTTGGACTGTGACAACAACGAGTGGTTATCCGACATTTGGGATGCGAACTGGTCCATGGCGTTGCTTCTGTGCATAGTTCTTTCGTACCACAGCAGAAATCATCTATCGAGGATCCTAGGATGGATTCTTTTCCTCTTACGACAGGCGCATTATCAGGTTCAGATGTTGCTGGGCCGAATGATGCCATGGCGCTACTCGACTCAGCTACAAGCTTTGCAGCTTGAGATGATCCTAAGGAAGCATATGCCTGGAGCTTACGTTGCCGATCTTACGGACCATAAAGAACTGCGAGGCCTTTTTCTCAGCCAGTCGCAGCCAGAAAAGTGAGTCTGCTTGGCGAGAGTCTTGTGCACTTGGCTAACCCAAAAGTTTAGAGAACGTCGTCAACTCACCTTCCTATCCCTTCCTATCACAATCAGACAGCGCATCTACGAGCTCGTACTCACCGATGAAAACAACTTCTGGTGGGATGATGACCAGAAAGTTCTACGTGCGAGTATCAGCCCCTCTCTTCTCAGAATTTCTCGGTCCGTCCGCCAACAGACCATCTCGACACCTTTAAGCAACAACAAGGTGATCATTGATGCAAATCCTAAGGCGCAACACTTAAGTCGTTCTCCCGATTGGTATGTGCCAGCCTCTCCGAATGGGCGCGAGCAGCTGCTCGAACTTCTCATGACTTTGTCGAATCCACATGTCTCTACTCCGCTACGAAAGTCCGTCGACGCTGCAAGAAATAAAGACGGCAAATGGTTAGTGGAGATTCGGGAACCTTACCTCAAAGTCTGGGGTTACGATATTGGGGTCATGGTCCGCTACCTCAGAGATATCTTCCCTCTCCTCGTCATCAACTACATAATTTTAATTCCTGCGGATCTACCTCAGCCCGTCTTCAAAGTTCAACATCTCGGACGCCAGCTCTATCATGCTATTTCGCAAGGCCTTCGGCATCCGCGATTCAAAGTCCACTTCGAGGGAATCGACTTATGGGAGACGGCGGCGCGAGACAGCAGCTATCAAGGACGTGAGGTCATTGATAAGGAGCTGAACAAGCTCAGGCGCTACATCCAGCTAATAATGACGTCGGATTGGCAGTGGAGTGAATCGATACATGTATTGCATCGAATAGGCGCAGCAGGCAATTAGTCGTCTATTCCTACCGAATAAACACGCACAAATGATGTGTGCTTGTTCCACCGGATTAGACGTCTCTTTCGGTGTTATAGGCCGCATAGGGTGATCTCCTGACTCGGTTTTCAAGCCGATCTTAACTACTTATTATTCCCTAACTTCCTTATTAAAAGTTACTTTATATATAACAGGAATTATTAATCGTAGCTAGCTTGTAAATCTGATACATACTACTGTAATTTCCTACGAATAAGCACGCACAACAGCGAATTAGACGACTAATCTGTTGGAATAAGCACGCGTCATCTGTACGTGTTTAATCATGCCAAATAGACGTCTATTCTTACCGAATAGACGACTAATTGCCTGCTGCGCCTATTCGATGCAACACATGGAAGGTCTGTGGAAGAGGCATTGTGATAGTTAAATCCAATGCACGGACCGAGCTCCCTTCGAGGTTGCTTTCATTTTGGACAACGGAGAGAAGTCTACTGCAACTGATGGTTCCACCAAGGCAACGAAGCGGTTCAGCTAAGTAGGGCCTGAGACGTAAAAACGGACATCCGAGATGAAAACTTTCACTCTTTTTGGAATAGTCTGCAGTCTTCAGGGCACAGGAAGGCTTCTGTGAAACGCTATGCCAAACATTAGCATAAATCACTGATAACGAAAGGGCGTTACTGGTGATCAGAGAAACCTGTGTTACTAGCAAATGTCGGAAAACCTCGTACGAGGGGTTCTATCTTGTTCGCAACTACCACTAATATAAATCGAAAACTTTCAGAATGCACATAAGGAACGCGCCATGACCGGAAATAGAACAAGGATTGAAACGCCGCGTACTCCGGCGAAAAGTTAAAACGAAAACGCAAGCACTCCAATAGGGTATTCAGGTGCTGGTGGGTAATTTCAGACCACCAACTCCGAGGGATATCTATCCACAGGCACTGTGAAGTGAAACCTTGCTCAGTACGCCACCACCAGATGCAACAAAAGAGACAATTTTTGCTAGCCCCGCCAGGCAGCCTTTGCGGATATGTTTCGAGATTAGGAAGGCCACCGAGTGTCACGCCATGGGACGCCCAGGGATGGAATCTTAAGAGAGCGTAGATCAGACCGATCGACGAAGGAGCAAAATTCCCCGGCTAAGATCTCACGGGAGAGGCTCCGCGACCCAGGCCCAGCACCTCATCAAACTGAATGGTGAGGGATCCTGGGTCGATGACCTTGACATGATCCCAGTCGCCCTCGTCGCCATGTGCCTTTGTTACGTCGGCCAACCAAGCAGATTCATCCTGCTCGATGGCGGTGCCGGACGACGAGGGCCTGCTGTCGAAATGCTGGATGGGAGGAAAGCGCTCCATGAACAAGCGCGGATATTCGGTTGCCATCTTGGAGACTTCATCGGGGTTGGCGGACTGTGAGACATCGATCAACTTGCTACAAAGGGAGGTAGTGTTAGTCGCTTTCCCGGCCGGTAAATGTGGTAAGGGTAAGGCCTTACTCCGAGGTTTGCGCGCAGATGCGCTCCAAGGCGTCTCGCTGGCGGCGAATTTCCTCCGGGTCTAGCTGGGGAGCGCCGGTATGGGGCATCTGGGGACCAACGCTGCCGTAGTGCGGCTGGTAGTCACCCCCGAGGAGCTGCTCAGCATCGGAGGGCTGCGTAAGGGCCAATGGTCAGCGATGCCACGTCGCACAGGTCGCGATCGCGGGACATACATCAGAGGGCGAGGCGCGACGGCCAAGGCCAAGGCATGACGAGCAGATGCCCATGAGGAATGCTAGGCGACGGTAGGCTTCGGTGCGAGGGTGGCGTTTAGGCCAAGGCCGAGGGCATACTGAAGCCAGACGGGGGGCTGGAAAAGAAGGGCGAGGGGCAAGGGCGACAACGAGGGCGAGAGCGAGGGCGAGGGAGAGAGAGAGAGAGGAAAGCGTGGTGGTGGTGATGTTTGATTTGAGGGTCTCGCTTCGGCTTCCCTTCCCTTTCTCTTCTGCCCGCCGACTCCTTCCTGCAACACCAGAGACTCCAACTCCAGACTTGCACACTCCACGCCGCTTTGTGTCGCCCGCAGTTCCTTTTTTTTTTTTTTTTTTCATCCTTTCTCTTCTGCTTCTTCGTCGTCGCCGTCGTTGCCCAGCTTTTGCCCTGCATACTACGTTCCGTCGCCGGGCTGGACGCGCCTCACGCGTCGGACGCGACCCTCTCACATATCCCTTTCTGGCGATGCGCCGGGCACGTTGTTCTAGTCATCGAATAGGCTGCAAAGCAAGGGCTGGCCTCCTAGCTACCCGAAATGGAACGATCTTCCTCACTTTCTTTGACCGTTGCGAAGTCGCCATAGCCTGTCTCAAACCTCCACCATTTTCAATGCACCGCGCACGCGTCCAATTGACCCACCCCATGTCACGAAATGCTCTGCAAGGCACAATCTTCTCCGCCACCCCGCCAGCGGGAGAAGGTTGGTCGTCTTGTATAAATCTTTTTGACTGCCGCCCCCGATTTGCCTTCCCATCCATCACCCTCACACTCACTGGTCGTGCACGAGCATTCACCTTCACTTTTGGGTGCTCAGTATGCGTTTCGCTCGTTCCACCCTGACGGCTTTGGCCGTCTACCTTTCCCTGCCCATCTCCGAAGCTGCCGTGGCTGGCACTTTACCAAACGAGAAAAGAAGTGGCTTCAGCAACCTTTGGGGAAATATCTTTGCCAAAAGAGAGAACGCCTGCGCCCCGCAAAATGATTACTACCAGGTTCTTGTCAATTATCAATCCGCTAATGATCTCTGCGCCACCTTGGTTGGCGTCTCGACCGTCACCGCACCGTTTGTCGTAACCACCACTCAGTCTGTATTCCTTGCTGTTGTTGGCCCCTGCTGATATCGGTTCGACTAACTGCCGTACTTCAGAACAATCACACAGGTATCTGCTACTAGGACAGCAACTGCCATCGAAGTTATCAGTTCCACAATCACTAGGACATCCACTATGAGCAACACTGCTCTCAAAGCCAGAAGCATTGAAGAAACTCCAGCTCCTCGGCTTGAAGAAAGACACGACTTTAGAGGAGACATATACAGGTTCATACGCCAAGCTGTGGACCCCTCTTCAACTTTAGACTCCACAGCTACAGCATTGAACTCAATCAGCTCCGGCTTATCGACAGCGTGTGATTGCCTCGATCTCCCGACTCCGGTTACGACAACTTCGACGTACACAGCTCCTCGTGTTGTATGTCTTACCCGTCACCTTCTGAAGTCAACTCGCTGATACTTTCCAGTTGACCACAATCCATGCTTTCGTTAAGACCACCGTGACTTCAACAAGCATCATCTCCTTCTACACTACCACGACAGTGACCGCGGGAGCCACTGACGTACCCACCGGGGATTCTGGCACCACCACCATCACTGACCTTTCCACAACTTCCAGTCCCTCCACGATTTCGAGTGCAGCTGTCACTCCGACCGCTCCCAACGTTTCCGGACCAACCATTAACTGCCCCGCAGACAACGGTACTCTGAGGTCCTACCAAGTTGCTGACCGGACTTTTTGGTACCAGATCTACTGCGGTGTCACCTTCACGGACGAGACGTTGACTACAGCCGGCGTTGATACTGCAGGCGACTGCGCCGCACTATGCTCGGCGTACAACCAAGGAGCGAACTCACCGCTGTGCGCTGGTTTCGATTACAACGCTAGGTCCGAGGCTGGAGGTTTCACTTGTATTCTCAAGAGGTCCATGAAACTGCAAGAATCCTCTAGAAGATCCAACAGTGGTGCGTTGGTTGCAGTCGTGGCCCCTGAAAATGACGCGTCCTCGTTTTCTTCCACTGCTGCTGCCAATGCGACTGCATTCCCAACCACTGCTGCATTGGCTGTGGTTACGCAGCCGCCAAACTGTGACAGTGCTGGGAACAGCGCCCAGTCGGCAACCTACTTCTCCACCAACTACACCGATGTCGGTGGCGCTGTGCACTACAGTTGGTTCTCTGCCTACTCTTTCTCGGCAGCATCATCAGAAGTTTGCACGTACGACAGCGTTGAGGTCTACACTACATCAATTGTTGTCACAGTTACAGGTGCAGTCATTAGCACAGCAGCTGCCACCGTCACTGGTGGAGCAGCGGCTTCTGGCGGAGGTCTTGCATACACCTCGTACACATCAAACGGAACAGTTTTCGTCTCGTACGGCTCAAGCGGAGTTGCCCCAGCTGCTACTGCCACTGGCATCACGTCTGCTACTGCGACTGCTACTGGAGATGCATTGGCCAACAGCGGTGGTTCTGCGGTCGGTCCAGCGTTTACTGGCGGAGGATTCTCCAGGAGCACATCTGTCATCAACGGCCAGACCGGTGTCTTGGTGTATACCACCAACTCGGCCTTCACCAGCCTTGTGACGATTATTGATGAGTCTTCTAGTGGCAATGCAACGGCCGGAGGGAGTGCTGTCTTCTCCACCGAGACTTCGGGGGGCACCTCGACCGGTGGAGAGGGAGTCATCTTCACTACAATTACTGTTGAGGGCAACGCAACTGTTATAGAGAGCACAGTTTTCTCTACGGAGACTCAAGGAGGCTCCTCAACCGGAGGAGAAGGCATCATCTTCACTACGGTTACCGCTGGCAGCAACTCAACTGCTGGAGGAAGCGCTGTCGCCCCGACTACTACTGCAGAAGGCAACTCTACCAGCGAAGGAAGCGTTGTTCTTACCACAGTTACTATTGGAGGCGTCTTGACGGCTGTTGAGACTGTCATCGCCTCTACGGCTGTCGAGACCATCGTATCCTCTACTGCTACTGTTGGGGTCAACTCAACTGGTGGAGGAGGTATTGCCATCCCCACAGCATCTTCGGGTGTCAACGCAACGAGTGGGGAAGGCATTGCCCTTCCTACCGCATCTGGGATTGCTAATATTACTGCGGGTGGATCCGTTGTTGGACCTACTACTGTCACATCTACCACGACCACACCTGTTACCTCCACCAGTGGAGCAGATGTCAATACGACCGGCGGTATCATCCCACCTACTCCAGGCTTTAACGATACTGACTCTCCACGAACTGGTTCCTTTACAAGCTCTGCTCCCGCAAACGCCACTACAACAGCTCCTTCAGGAACGGGTATAGTTTCGAGCCCGGCTCCCGTAAATTCTACCATCACTACCACTACCACGGATGTTCTTCAAATTTCGAGCACTACTCCGGCAAATTCCACTACGTTCGGCATTAGTCCTCCATCGTTAAACTATACCATATCCGGTACTGGTGCGACACCGACTCCCACATCTACCACCGTAACAATCAGTGGTACAGTCATTGTCACATCCACAGGCTATGCCTTCCCGACTTATGCAGGGCCAACTGATCTGGAGTCAACCACGCCGGCGCCGTATTTTTCGAACACTGCGGACGAGAGAAACGGGCAGTTCACACCTAGCACACCTGTACCTTCGGGCCCGGCACCTAGCAGTGGCTTCCCGATACCCTCTGCTAACTCCACTTTACCTGGATTCAATAATTCTGCAGACAACCGAACCGGCACTTTCCTGACCACTGCTACCGTTGGCCCACCGGTTTTCACGTTTATTAGCCCTACTGCCAACTCAACTGCCCCTGCTGGTACTGGAAGTCCAAGAAACCGCACCGGTGTATTCACTTCAACGACCACGACTCTGACATCGATCCTAGTGCCCACTGACTATGTACCCCCTTTCACTTCCGCTAATTCAACTACACCTGGTTTCAGCAACAGTGGAGACAACAGAAGCGGCACCTACCCTACCACCACCACAACACTGGGCATAACTATCAGTAGCGGGTTCCCTGTGCCGTCTGCGAACTCGTCTGCGCCTGGCTTCAATAACACTGGCGCTGATAGGACCGGCACTTTCTCTCCAAACACACCTTTGGCCACCCCACCTCTGGTTACCGCA